GCATAGCATGGCTTTTCCTTTATTTCTCATGGCCGTGTAACTACTTAGAATTACTGCCGTTTGCTGCAAATGGTCAGCAGTGGGTTCAACCCAAGGCAGCAGTTGCAGCATCCTGGGAGCTTGCTGGAGAAGCTCAGACCTGACCCTTGCTTTTCTGAGTCAGAATCGTGCATTTTAGCATGATCCCTACGTGTGACCCGTCCCCTGAAAGCTTGGGAAGCACTGGCCCGAGGCTTACTGACTTCGAAGGTGAGCATGCTCACCGTGCGGGCGCTTCCACCTGCTGGGTGCCTGCGTGTCCCAGCTGCCTCGCTGGGCCTTCCCCGCTGTACAGCCCGTTTACCTGGGAGGGCGGAGGCTCAGGGAGGTGAGGTGGCTTTCCTGCAGACCTGTTTGGGTGCTTGACAGTCCTGACAAGGCCTGTGGGGGTGGTGTTTATCCGCTGAGAGCAAGCGGTTGCGGGTGATTTCCACGAACCACAGCCGGGCCCCTGGTGGCCACACTCGGAGCAGTGAGTGCTCGGCCCTTCTGCAGAGGGCGTGCTGTCTTTGTCTTCCCTCCTGCAGGTGGTGCGAGCACACCCCTTTCCGGTCCCGGGTCCTGGAGACGGGGCAGCACCCCTTCCCTCAGAAACACAGGGCCACTGTCTGCGGGCTGTGAGACGGGGGCCGCGGCCCAGGCTTGCCTCTGAGGATGATACTTCAGTGATTGTAGGTGATCTTGAAGTAAAGCAGTTGATCTGAGATGAATCGGTTTAGGGATCCTTTCGTCCTATTTTACACGCATTAGATGGCAGTTTTCCCTTGGGACTGAAGTTGTGGGGAGGCCGAAACGGCAGGGGCCGCTGTCTGTGGCATCAGGCAACAGGCGAGCTCCCCAGTGGCCCACCCATCTCATAATCTTCAGCCCTTTTGGAGAAAAGCCTATTTCCAAGCAACTTAATCAGATATAGCTGTTGGATCACTTTTAAAGTATATTTAAGTTTGTAGTCCCCAGTTTAAAGCAAATACACGGTGGGAATGTGTATTCCCCAGTGTTCTGTCTTGAACAGTGCTAATATAGAAAGCAAGAGCAGTTGGGCAGGCATTTTAAAAAGACAGTTGCTAAAGGATTCCCCTTCTTGTGTTTAAATACGTATGTAGCCTGGAGGCGTGGCCCGGGGGGTGAGCGGGGCAGCTGGCCTGGGAGGCCCAGCTGGCACACAGCCCAGGGTAGCAGGGCCGCCACGCAGCCTGGGGCGGGCCCTCGGGGTGGCGGGCAGCTCTCTTCCCCGCATGGGTGTGGGAGCAGAAGCCCCTCCATTTTTCAGCTCTGATGTTCCTTAGTGCCTTTCATGCACTCGGCACCAGGGCAGGCGTGGGCGCAGGGAGGGTTTGGACGGCTCACAGTGCACGGAGGACGCTGTCCTGTGGCCGTGCCAGCCCGCCCGGAACGTCGGCGACGGGATCTGGCAGGAAGGGAGGTGACTGAGCAGGAGGGAAAGTGAGCGGGAACTCCGTTTCCTTTGGGCAGGGGCCACTCATCCTTTTCTGTGAAGGACCGGAGAGGAGATGCTGCAGGCCTGGTGGCCGCACGGGGTCCCTGTCACTCAGTCTTGTCTTTTCCTCACCCAGTCCACACTGGTCAGGGCTGGCGGGCTGTTGCCTGTTCCTGCTCTCAGCTCGCCACTGCTGAGCACTCAGCCTTGGCAATAAATCAGTGTTTAGTGAGTTACCTCTGTAAGGCCGACACTTCGGAAGTCGGGTTTTACATGTGACTGTATCTTGATCCATAATGCAGAGTGCAGCTTTATCCATGGTTTGTAGGCATCAGTTTACATAATTAGCCAGTAGGTAGGGCTCCATACCAAATTTCCGTTTTTGTGACTTATTTCTTAGTAGTTTTCATCATTAAAAAGACATGCTACCTTGGCCAGTGTAGCTCATTGGTTGGAGTGTTGTCCGTGCACCAGAACTTGATCCTGGGCCAGGGTGCCTACAGGAGGCGGGCAGCTACTTTGAGACTTAATTTTTTTAAAAAGGTTTCAGGCAAATTTGTTAACTGCATTTGGTTTTCTAACTTCAAATGGAAGGACCATTAGAATATAAGAAATTTGGCCTATAGGCCAAAATAAGCACATACTGACCTGATAATGTCGGGACACGGGTGTGGGAAAGGCACTTTCAATACACCTGGTTATTTTAATATGGCTTTTCAGTTGGTGACTTTGAAATATTTCAAAATAAGTAAAAGGAACTATTTTGTCATTCTGTACATATCTTAGGATCAAAGTCCTATGATAAACTTTGAACACAAGGTGGATTGACATGAATGGTCGTGCCTTTTTTTCTTTTTTTTGAAATTTCAGGCTCTTCTTTATTTTTTGAATTATATTTTATTGATTATGCTTACAGTTGTCCCAAGTTTTCCCCCTTTGTTCCGCGCACTCAGCACTCCCCACCCCATCAGGCAGTCCCCCCACCACTGTTCGTGTCCCCCGGCCATGCTGAGTGGTCGTTCTCGACGGTGATTTTCTGCTTCGGCTAAACCGGGCTTGCAGGCCCGTGTCTGCCCTGAAGAGCGGTGCAGGTCGCTGTGCGCTCGATGGCCGGGGCAGCCTGGGCCAGGCCTGTTGGCGGGGCGCTGGGGCGCTGGGGCGCGGTGCTGAACAAAGCTGTGGTAGCCGCCACTAGCCTTGCTGCGCCGTGGCGGAGGGCGGTGGAGTGCGTGCACTCCCGCAGGTGCCATTCGAATCGCGGGGACAGAGGAGCCCGGAGCTCCGCGGCAGCAGCATTGTTGTCGTTGTGGTCGCAGACTGTGCTGACAGCCTGTGTGGCTCCGTGCCCTGGATGGGACAGGACGGGACGGCTCCACCCCTCTCTCTCTGTGGGGTGAGGCCCGCCTTTTTTCTTCCCTCTTTGGGCGTTAGCGCTTCACAACCTGTGCCTTTTATTCTCTGCTTCAATTTTATTAGAATAACATGGCACAGCAGTTTTTTTGTTTGCCATTTTCCACAAATCTGAAAACCAAAAGAGCATTTGTGTGTAAGATTTAGTTCCACTGTCCTTTTCCCCGAAGTTCCCTTCTGTTACGTGTATAGGGATCGTCTTTGCCATCATTCCCTTGTTTCCGTAGTAATGGCCTCGGACACGGAAGCATCCGTTTCTCTCATTCACGACAAAGGCACTTTGCCTGCTCCTCTTCTGGGAGGGGAGAGGTCGTGAGTAGTGCGGGTGGTTGCTGACTGTGCTGGGAACTGTGACCTTGCTTTTCTAGCATGTTCTGTGATGTCTTCTGTACATACTTACTGGCCTAATCACGAGGAGGCCAGAGATGGCTCTGCTTTATATTGCGGGCCCCTGCTTCGGGTCATTCCACGAGCTTCAGGGTGAACGCCAGTCCCGTGTGCAGGCCCCTCTGAGTGGGGCAGGCCAGCCTGGCTTCAGCGAACCTTCCCGGGAGCTTCTCGTCCGCCACTGCGTCTTGGTTCTATTACTGCTCATTGATGTAAGCGCATTGCTAATTTATGTCGCTTTTGAAGCCTTTAAAGTTTTTTTAACAGTCAACCAGTGTAACACCATATTTCATAATATTTTTTTACCTACAGCGTGTTCCCATTTCGAGCTTCCTTAAACCTCTGCTTGTGTGTTAAATGCCGTGATCGTGTTTTTGACAGTGAAGCTGTGCGAAGTGGGTGGGCCTGTGCACGTGCCGGGTCTCCGCCGTGGCGCCCAGGCTGCTTTTCTTCTCTGTCCCTGGGTGGGGCGGCGGGGCTGGCAGCCTGAAAAAGTGCTGTCTTCCAGGACCTCTATTTTTAAAAACACCCTTTTGAGCGGATGTTCATGGAAGTATCAAACGAGGGTGTATTTCTACCTGATCTCCTAACATGGGGGGGGTTAGCAACCTGTATACTTCTAGAAGTGTGTGTGTGCTGTCTGCAGGTCACGCTTCTCGCAGCTTCCCTCCGTTTCCCCAGGCTCCCCCAGCGCAGGGTTTGACATGAGCGCGTGAGGATGTTGACATGCTTTTTGGCGGTAGCGGTGGTGAGGGCCACTTCACGGGGTGGATATGACGCTGCAGCTGGTCTGCAGGTTGCAGGTGTGGGGAGAATGGAGTGAGTATGCGTCTCACCGAACCCTGGTTCGGGATTCTGCAGTGAGCACCTTTGACAGATGGGAATGACTTTTGAATGGACTTACTCCTAATCAGAACTTCTGTCATCTTGTCATCTTTTGGTCTACAAGAGGCCTTTGAGATGGTCTCACTATGGCAGCTTTAGACTATGCAGTGGACCCTGTGTTTCATATTTCCAGTCGTGACCAGCAAGGACCTTCTTTAATTCTGTGCCTTGAAGACAACGAAGCTGTTTTCATCGCTGAGGAGGGGAGGAGGAAGAGGCAGGAGCGGGGCGTGTGTGGCGTTGGGGAGTGGTGGTATTAACTTTGTCCGGTGTCTTTCCTAGTAACTGAGAATGAGTTTCTCCAGTGTCTCCAGAGTGCGGTTCCAGTTTGTCAGTGTTCTTCACTAAGGACGGCACAGGATTTGCTGTTTCTGACTCTCAGCTGTGGGAGTGCTGGCCGTGGCTGACAGTGCCGGTGGTGGTGGTGATGATTGGTTTATTCAGTTCTTCAGTGTTCTGAGGAGGACTGGATACTGAGGTCTCTGCACTCGCCATTTGTGGCTGAAGGTGTTAGTTCTGAGTGGGAGTGTGCCCTTCGCCCTCCAGAAAGGGCTTCCTTCCTTCCTCTCCCAGCGGAGGTTGTTCATGTGTGGGTGGGGTCATTTTGCAGGTTGAAATCCCAAGTTTTAGCATTGTTCCAACGTTTTCGAGTCAAATTTTTATCAATAAAAACATTTTTTTTCTGAGAAGGAAGAAAATGCTGCTTAATTTTACTTAGAAAGTATAGGTTCAATGTAGAACATTTCACGTGTGGCGTTTCAGACCATAAAAGTGAACTGAAATGAAAAACGAACATGCGAAGTTGCAGTTTGATTTGAAACCCTCTCTGCGTTTTGTCTAGACCAGCATGTTTTGGAAGTTTGACCTCCACTCGTCATCCCACATAGACACCCTTCTGGAGCGAGAGGATGTGACGCTGAAGGAGCTCATGGACGAGGAGGACGTCTTACAGGAGTGTAAGGCTCAGAACCGCAAACTCATAGAGTTTCTGTTGAAAGCAGAATGTCTCGAAGATTTAGTCTCGTTCATTATAGAAGAACCACCTCAAGACATGGATGAAAAGATCAGATACAAGTAAGAAATGCGTTCTCCTCCTCAGGGCGGGACTGAAGTGCAGTGGGGGCAGCGTGTCCATCAGTGCGGCCCCGCCGTTCCCCACGCTGCCGCAGACCAGCGGCAGGAGGTTCGGACGGTCAGCAGAGACAGGCTCCGTGGAGCACGGGGTCCGGTCCAGAGCTAAGTCCAGCGAGGGGCCAGGGTTTTGTAAGCGAGTGTTCTGCATTTCACTCCGAAGGGCGAAATGCTTTATAGTGATGAAGTTTCTAAAAATAGAATGGCTGTCCAAGTAAGTATTTTCTCTTCTTTGCAAATAGCAGGGTGGAAATGATGTGACCATCCAAGATCACACAGCAGATCTAAGCCAGAGTGTGGGCTTTGAAGAACCTTGCTGATAAATTCTGATCTTTTATTAACTGAAAATAAGGGTGGGGGTCTTGGTGGATGTTAGTGTTGCTAAATTTAAGCACATAAGACCTTGGGTGACTGCAGTGAATTTATCTACTCGTCACTAGTTTTACCTGTTTACCAGCAGAACTGTGTAGCACAGTGGGGTCCTTTATAACTGCTTCTTATAGCACTTTGTTACACAGACCCCTGGAAACTCGGAATATTCCATATGTATTTCAAGTATTGGGGTTTCAGTTATTTTTCCATCTCTGACTCTATTGAAACATTTGGTGGCTTTCCTCCTAAAAATAGTACAAATTCAGGAACAAAGAGTTACTGGTTCTACATTAAATAAACACGGAGTAGAAAGAATTATGTTTTTTAGAAGGTTCTCTTTTGCCCTTTCTCCCCTAGTCTGTGCCTGTTTTTAGATATGTTTTCATTTCTTCATGCTGAGAATTTTGCTGTCAGGGAAATAATACTTATGAATGCTTTGAAGTTGCTGATGGCTTGGACCTTCAAAGAAGTCATGTTCTCTGCCAGCCGTGAGGACTGACAACTAGTGTTCAGCAGCAGCCTCCACTCAGAGATCAGTGCCTTACAAACGGAGAGGAAAGAAACTGGGCAGCATAAATACTAGCGCTCTCCCATTCCACAAAAGACAGGCAGACACCGAGCCACCCTGGGGTTCCTGCAGCCGTGAGCCAGCACCCACGGGCCCTGCTTGTCCGGGCTCCTCGTGCTGCCAGGAGCGGTGTGGCATGGGTTGGTGCCAGGCCCTCCCGTCCTCACAGGCTCTGACGACTACAGCGGTGGACCGGCCCTTCTGGGGTCTGTTTCCCCTGGGACCGAATGCAGCGAACACCTCTCTAACTGGGGGACAGTAGGCCCGCCTGTGGGAAGTGCTTCTTTACCAAAAGTGGTCATGGCTGTTGTTGCAGTGCTCATTAAAATCTGTTTGCAGTTGTAGTTGTTGTCATCGTCGTTGTGCTGTGTTTGAGGGTGCGAGAGCAGCCCCCGACACGGCCTTCTGGGTGGCACGTTTTCAAGAGCCCGTGACTTGAGCGGGCGGAGCACTGCTGCTGTGCTTCCGCCTCTCGCCTTCCGGGCCGCTTCGGTGTGGAGGGCCTTTCCCGTGTGTCTGAACGCCTTCGGGGTCGCAGTTGACTCCAGTCACCCGAGGAGGTTGAGACTGGCGTTTGGGAGTTTCTGGATGACAGAGCGATTGCTGTGTTTTGTGAACTTCGTAATTATTTGTTAGTTACGTGTGTGTTTTAAACTCATCACTGTTCTTAGTTCAGTGATCATCTACCACACATTAAATTAAAGGGTTGCTATTTCACACTAGCAATTCTAGTGACAGGTACCTTTGATTTTCAATAATTGAGCATAAATTTGACCTAACAGAAATTTGAAAATAGGCCCTTAAGTGGAAGAATAAATTCAAAAGCTGAAATGATGGAGGTTGGATCGAGGTTCCCGCAGAGGGACTGCGAAGTGGCTAGAAGCGAGAGCAGAACCGGGAGGGGCTGCTGCCCTGGGCGCCCGGGGAGACAGGCCCCAGGAAGGGGTGACGGGATAGCAGGGCAGGGCTGCTGCCCACCGGCCAGGTGACGGGTGATGGTTGGTGTTGCGTCACGGGGCCCTGGGGTGCCTTTGAGGGGAACTGGAGGCGAAGCAGAGGAAGCTTCTAAGGTAGTTTCCGGGAAGGGAGGAAGTGGGAGCTGTGGGCAGATGTGGAGTCAGGAGGGGTGGCGTTTGTTTCTTTCTAGCTGGAAGAAGCAGTGCTCGGTGCGCGTGCTGGGGCAAGAGGTGCAGCTCGAGGGGCGTGATGGTGCAGAGGATCGGGCTGAGTGATGCGCTGTGCCGGGCAGGTGGGCGGGGGCAGGCGATGGAGAGGGCAAGTGAAGGGGGGCTTTCCGGGAAAGGCTGGCTCCTGTGTGGGCGAGGAGGAAGGGACTCCCGGGCGGGGGGCGTGCAGTCGGGCCGGGTTCTCCTCTGAATGCTTTGTGTTCTCGGTACCAGGGCAGGCGGCGTGGTCAGAGCACATGTGGGGTCGGGGGAGGGGCAGAGGCCTCGCCCAGCGGTGGGGTGCGGGGGAGTCTGGAGTGTTTCTGTAGCTCATTTACTGCTGTGGAGGGAGGGAGGGAGGGCGGGAGGGCGGCGGGCGGGCATAGCCCCAGCCCATTCAGAACCAGAACTTCAGGCCTTCTCCATAGTGCCTAGGCCACGTGTGCTTCATTAGCTAGACCGTACTTCCAAGACACCTGCGGGGAAATGGGCGCAGAATTAGAAAGCTGGCCTCGCCCTCCTCTGACCTCTGTCGGCGTTTAGAAAATGCACCTTCCACATTTGATTTTGGGCAGGGTTGAGGTGTTCTGCCTTTTACCAGTCCTGCATTTGCCGGCAACTTCTGCGTTGGGGCAGTTGAGACATTTCCCCCAGGCCCTGTGGCAGCTGAAATGCCAGCAGCTCTATAAAGTGGTCGATAAGGAGCAATAGCAACAGCTAGCAGTCATTTATTCCAGGTCCTTCTCAGTATTTTGTATGTGTTACTCTCCCCATGGAGTAAGGACTATTGTCTCAATGTTGCAAACTTGAAAACTGAGGCCCAGAGAGGTTAGTGACTAGCTGAGATCATAAGCTTGGAAGGGGCAGAGACGGGTTTCTGACGTCACTGGTGGTGCGACTCCAGGCGCCACACGTGTAGCCTCTGAGTACTCCTGCCTCCAGCACAAGGGTGACTTTATATTACGGCATCTGTACGCCAACATGTTTCTTGGAGTGAGGAAGACTCTGCTTTGATTGAGGCACCAGCCTCCGGAGAGGCTTTTTGAGGATGTGATCTTTGTGCCCGCACACCGGCCGGTGCTGCTGTCTCCCGTTGTTGTCGCCTCGCAGAGGTTCGCTTGGGGCGCTCCTCTGCTGCTCAGTCGTCCGGCCCCCCCGACCTCTCTGGTCTGTTGCAGGCGGGCCCTCCGTCCTCACCGCCCCTTAGTCACACAGCCGCTTCGGGCTGTTGGGTCACCTCCCTGTCCTGGTCAGCGGGAGCTTGCCCTTCCTGATGACTGACGGGGTGCTTCTGGACCCTGACCGCCCGGCAGCGGGGAGTAGAGAGCAGAGGAGGGAGCCGTGGCTGGGAGAGTGGTCTGCTCTCCGCTGTTGCTGCTGCTGCCGACTCGAGGCACGGTTTGTGGTCGGGGGAGTGAGAGAGGCGGGAAATGGACCTGCTGCCTCTGTTTCAGACAGAGTGTCCCCTCGTGCTCAGAGACAGGCCGGCTTTAGGGGTGCAGGTGTTTCCGGTGCTGTGGGGTCTGTAGAGGAGGTCTGTGTCCCCTGGCAGTGAAGACTGGTGGCGGCTGGTCCCCAGAGACCTGGGAGGGCGGGTGCGGAGAGCTCGCTTGTACATGCAGCTTCCTGCCTGGGTGCTCGGGCGATGTCCTGTTCCCCACTTGGGAGTGTGAGAAGGTTTATTCTCCTAAGATGTGATATGTACTGAACATTTGAGAAATCTCCAGACAACTTTCTAGCACCATTTGCAACCCGTGTAAAATGAGAGGTCGCCGGCCTAGGAACCTCATTGTGTCTTGAGCAGTTACAAGGTGCTGTGTGTGGTGCAGTTTCCTGGAAACCAGTGTCCCCCGTGGCTGTCCCGTAAGCTGGGCCGCTTTCCATGCCAGAGGAGGCTGCTGGTGGCTGCAGCCCGAGGCTGCCACCTGCCACACCCTGCCTCATCTGCGAGGGCCCACGCCTGCACCATGACCCTCCTCGGCTCCGGAGTCCTAGGTGTGCTCTGGTTTGTTGGGGAAAGTGTACAGTTATGAAAGCTTGGCTTGGAAACGAATTTTTAGACAGTAGAAAATTCACTTTAATCGAGAGGTTGGACAGGATGGATTGAAATGATGTTCTTATTCTCAGAAGATTATTTTTTCACAAAATTTTAGGAAGCTTTTCTGACTTGTGTTTTACTTGATGTAATTACACTGTTAATGTAGATGATGATGCAAGTGTCCTGTTCTTCTAGGTACCCAAATATATCTTGTGAGTTGCTCACTTCCGACGTCTCCCAGGTGAATGACAGACTGGGGGAAGATGAGTCCCTGCTAATGAAATTGTATAGCTTCCTCCTAAACGATCCCCCCTTGAACCCACTGCTTGCCAGTTTCTTCAGCAAGGTGCTAAGCATTCTTATCAGCAGAAAACCAGAACAGGTAAATACTGTTTCCCAAAAGGTAAGTACGAGGGCTGGTCATCCCTCTGAGATGACCCCCAGGCGTTTTGTTGCTTCAGTGTTCCGAGTGTGCTTTAAGTCCAGCTTCTGTAGAAGAGCATGCTTTAAACCTGAAACATTCCGATGTTCTCTGGCTTGACACGGATTTACACATTAATGAATGTGTTCGAACTTGACATTCTTTTCTAAGTGTCCCACATCTCAGATTTTTGGTAGACGGTGGTTTCCTCCGGACGAGTGGCTGGAAGCGTGAGGGTGTTAGCACTTGCGGGGGAGAGGGCCTTATGGCGCGGACTGAGTGGCTGGGGGTGTGAGGGGGCCCTAGTGACTGAAGTAATGCTAGTTGAATTTTCCCTTTCCCTTGGTGATTACAAATGACGCTTACATCAAAAAGCTTCCCTAGAAACGTGGTTGGTGTACACAAATGCTGGTTGTTTCTACTTCGGCTCCGCTCAGCTTAGCTGGAGCCATCGGGCTGTGGACCGGCAGGCCCTGTGTGGCTCTGAGCGGTGCTCGACAGGGACACCTGCCCGCTGTTTCAGCACGGACACCCCCTCTCACTCTGTCTCCCCCCTTGTCCTCCTTGTTCTTCCCTCTCCCCACTTTGTTTGGCTCTCAAACAACTCAGATGTCCTCGGGAAGTTGGCAGGTACCGGTTGCATGTAGAGTGGTCCCTGAAGTGGGGTCTGGACCGGCACGAGGACCACCTGAGCACTGGTTGGCAGTGCAGGTCCCTGAGCTGCCCTCCAGACCCGCCGACTCGGCCGCTCTGGGGCCGGGGCTCAGTCTGGCATTTTAACAGTCCGCCAGGTGACAGATGTGTGCCTCTGCTGTAGTGGCTGTTGCTGGGAAACCAGGTCTGCTGGCCAGAGACTGTGGTCCACCTAGGGAAACCGGCGGCCCGGGAGCATCGAGCCTCCCGTGCTCAAGTACAAACTGACAGGCCTGCCGGGGCGTAGTGAGCAAGGGCGTGACGGCTGGGGCACAGGTGGTCAGACCTGTGAGGCTGCAGGGCCCGTCCCCGCTGTCAGCGCACACGGGGGACTGGCGCTCTTTTAGGCCCGGTGTGCTCTCCTGTGCCGCAGCGAAATGGGCCGTGCTTCATTCTGGAGGCACAAGGTCATCCTTTCTTGCCTTAGCTGGGCAGTCACCGTTCTACATGTAGTGGGATTGAGATTCTTTTCTCAAAGACAATAGTCCCCAGAGCACAATTACCCTGATGCTGGTTGTCTTCCTGCCCTCTGCCCTCTGATAAAGATAGCAGGACTGCTGACAGCAACAGGGACATGCGAGTCCCCTCACAGCCTGCGTTACAGTCAGTGCCAGCTGGCTGTGGCGATTATCGACACAGGTCCTGCTTTCAGCGCGTGTGTGAGAGCACACTTGGGGCTTTTTGAGTGTGTGTGTTGGTCTGCAAGGTGGGACATGGTGTCTGTGTGCGGACAAGGGGCTGTGCCACTGCGTGCTCAGGACAGGGCCCAGTCACTGCTGCTCCTTGTGTGTCTCGGTTCAGGGCTCCTGGCACCAAGGAACCCTGGCACGAGGGATCAGTAGCCCTCGCTCTTTCAGCTGCAGGAAAGGGTCGAACCCTGCACCTCTCTGTCCTTTTGAGAACTGAGTGTAAAAAAGGGTTTCCCATCACAGGATGTATTAGTAAGGATCTGTGAAGCTGCAAGTAATGAAAAAAAAGCCAGACTCGATCTGACTTAATGGATACGTGTATTGGCTTGTGGAGCAGGGAGTCCAGCTGTAGGGCGCTTCAGGGCTGGACGATCAGCGCCTCCGCGGGGTCGTCCTCTGCGCAGACATCCAGCTGTTCTCGCTGTGCCTTTCGGCTCCGGGTCCCGTTTTCCTCCTCCCCCCTCACCGTGCTCTTAAAAACTAGTGTGTGACTCAGTTGTGAGCGGATGAATCTTGCATAGCTTCTCGAAGGTTCAGTATGACATCAGACCTCACTGTCTGGAGAAGCAGAGCATGCTCGTCAGTCCCGCCCTCGCGCCTGTCCCCGTGTGTGGGGCAGGTTTGGTTGGCCGCTGGATGCCTCGTGGGCGGTAGGGGCGGGGTCCCGGCTTTGTGGATGCGCAGATCCAAGTTCCAGTTTCAGGGCATTTCTAGCAAGATATTTCACCAGTCTGAGCCTCGGTCCCTGCATTTGCAGCATTGAGTTAAGCAACCTCACCACACGGGCTTTCGGGAGACTTCAGGGACACTGTGAGAGCAGCTGCCGCGCTGGCCTGCTGCTGCCGGGCCCCGTGAGTGGGTGTTTGTGCACACGGACAGAAGGCAGAAGGCGCCCAAGGGCGCAGGACAGAACCGGCTCCCCCTTCTTCCTGCGTAAAAGAGACCCAGGTGGCAGGCAGGACGCAACGTGGTTTCCACCCTCACGGTCTCGGTGTACCTGTCCGCCTCTTCCACACGCTCATTGTGTGACTGTGACTGTGACCGGGCAAACTGCTGAAACAAAACCCACCTGCGATGCTTCTGTCGCAGGAGAGTTCAAGCCTCTGTGACTGATGCAGGAGTCTGTATGCACCGAAATTGTTTCTCTCGCTTGTTAGAGTGTAATTACGATTTTAAACGTCTATTCTGTGTTTTAGTGCACAGTTGAGTGGACTTGCTTTATGTTCATAAACTGAAATGGTACATTCTGTTGCTCTTTATGAAATTTTTCATCCTCCTTCTTTGAGAATTAATAATGAAAGTAAACAGAAATAAAAGAGTGTTACGGTGTGTTCGCACCAGGGAATGTGCAGTGAGTAGGGCGTTGTTGTTCCTCTGGGGCGTTGGGCGGTGTGACCAGCAACCGGCGCCCCGGCGTGGAGGCGGCAGTTGCCGCTCGCTCCTCCGCTTGCAGTGGTGGCGGGGTTTCTGAGGGGCCGCTGGGGGGTCGGGTTGGACAGCATTCTAAAGGGTACGGTTCCAGGGTACACGTCTTTCAGACTTGGTTTGTTCTCCTCTAGATTGTGGATTTCTTAAAGAAGAAACGTGACTTCGTAGACCTCATCATGAAGCACATAGGCACTTCGGCTATCATGGACTTGTTGCTCAGGCTCCTGACGTGCATCGAGCCTCCGCAGCCCAGGCAAGATGTGCTGAATGTGAGTAGAACTGTCGCTGTCCCTGACCACGCGGGTTGGCGGGGGGGGGGGCGCAGGAGCCCGTGTGCTGCTGTCCACTGGGGCGGGTTCCAGGGGATTGCTGGGAGAAGGGGGTCTGGGGAACTGGGGGGCGGGGGGAGGGGGTAAAGAACGTGGTTCTGAGATAGGAAGAGACTCGGACTTTGCAGGACTGAGGTTTCGGGCATGCAGGCGTCCCTAGGTTCCCGGGTTGGCTCCTCGTGCAGGGCTCTGCGCCCTGTGCTGGCCTGTCGGTGGGCCGGGGGCTGCGCAGGCGGAGGCTCGGTCTCGGCGCTGCTGGGTGGCAGCAGCAGCAGCAGCAGCCGCACACCTGCTGGGAGCTGGGTCTCATCGGGCCTGGGCTTCCAGGCTTCTTTATTGCGAAGGTGCTCGCAGCTCAGGGCTCTCTCCAAAAGTCGAAATGGAGAGGTGTCCACGCGCCCACGGAATAGGGCTGCAGAGGCAGCTGTCTTCTCCAGGGCAACTAGGGTAAGGAGACGGGCGTTCATTTCCTAAAGGGCACATGCGCAACATTTCGGGGAGATGGTCACCTCGGGACCCTTCCGTGGGAGGGAAGCGGGAGGTATGAGTGACCTGAAGATGAGGGTTCTCAGAGGCTCTTGCCACCCCCCCCCTTTCTTCTGTTCTCTGCGCTGACTTCTTCCACATCTGCTCCTCAGTTCACTCCGTCTTCAGTTCTCCACCTGGAGTCTTTGAGCTGACTCCTTTCTCTGGAAATGAGGGTCACTGAACATGTTAGTTTTATTAAAGAAGCAGAGACAGGAGGGTCTGTCAGGTCGAACCCTGGAAATGAGGTGCTCCACTGAGGCGGGCAGGGATGCCGGCCTGTGTGGGTGTCGGCAGGAGGACCCGGGGTAGGGCTGGGAGAGCCGGGCAGAGGGCCGCCGAGAGCCGTGGTCCTTGGAGGAGCCTCCAGTGGGCGGCCTAGTGCAGGCCCCGGGAGCTGCCTGTGGGAGGGCCCGGGTCGGTTCACGGGGTCCTTTTGGGTGTGTTTCTGTGGGTGTGAAAAGAGGTCAAGGATTCCAGGGAAGACTGGGGTGGGGGGCGGTCAGGGGGAAGGTCACCTTTATATGTGGGTTACTGCAGGAGGAAATTCTCAGTGTGGTTTTTTAGAATTCCTTTGGCCACTTCTGGGTTGAGTTTTAAAGCCCGTTTCCAGAGGACTTAGATGCGCCTCTGGAGGGACAGTCAGTGATGGGTGTTAGTGAAGGTGGAGGGTAGGGGAAGGACGGCTGGAGACTCCCAGATGACTGACTTCATTTGGGACCCACTGGGGGTGGTTAGTCCAAACGTGGGCAGGGAATGTGGGTGCTTGTACTAGCTGTGAAGGCAGCGGGGGTGGGGGCCTGATGTGTGATGGTCAGGGGCCCCGCCCCCTCCGGACAGGTGTCACCCGGGTGTCCTCTGTTTTAGGACATTGCGACTCTTGGTGTGGTCCTGGGACCACATCACCTGAGAGCTTGTTGGAAATCATACGCTCAGGCCACACCACTGCCCCGCTGAATCAGAATCCACATTTTAACTGGACCCTGGGAGGGCGATATATGTGCACAGTTTAAAACAGATTTTGTTTCATCAAGTTCAAGTTGGGCCTCTGCTTTTGTGATGCCTCCCTGGCAGCTCCGTTCACATTTCCCTCCGACGTGTCTCCTTCAGGGGCCGAAGACGGGCCAGGTTTTCTCCCTGTGCCTTTAGCACACTGGACTCGATTTCTGGCCACCCCGTTCTCCCCCCTCACCGTTACCCTTCGGGGGCTGGCGGTGTAGGGCCGGGCGGGCGCGTGAGTGTCTGGTTTGTTGCGGTGTTTCTGTTCCTCCAGGAACTGGTGTTCCACCGCTGAGCTGTTATTTCTTTCTACTTTCACCCCCTTGGTGCTTTCCTTCACAGCAGCGCTCCGTGTGCAGATGGGGAAGAGAACGCCCCCGTCGGGGTGCTAGCTCTGTGCCAGCGTGCGCCGGGGCAGATACACTCGGCTCCGTGACGCCCCCTGGTCCCCTGCCCCACCCCACCCCCACCCACATTTTCTGGGGTGCTTTTGGTTTTGGAATCTAAAACTTCCTTATGTGTTTTAATGCAGAGGCTTGGTACTAAATACTACCTTTCTCAGTCTTCCTGAGACACTCTTAAAGTGAATATACTTCTGCAGAAATGAATCCCCCACCCCCATTACCCAGAGTTCAGACCCTTTTAGCACCCAGGGTCTGAGACGTGTCCCCTGGCTAGGAAGCTGATGTATAGAATTCGTGTGTGGGGGTGTTATAAGTTGGGGAGTCGTTGGTGCTGTTGGCTGCTGTTAAAATGAGGTATTTACTGGCATTTTCCTTGGGGGACTTTTAATTTCCGGTAATGTTCAAAGTCCAGAGAAACCTGTAACGTTCTACTTAAAATGTGAGGGATATTTCCAAGTGTGTTAACCTTCCTTGGGCTTGAACAGGAGCCACTCGTTGCTATGATCACTTCTACGATGTGTTTTGCAGTGGTTAAATGAGGAGAGGATTATCCAGAGGCTTGTGGAGATAGTTCACCCATCGCAAGAAGAAGATGTAAGTTCTTTTGTCTGACTGTAAACTGATTTTTTTTTTTAAAGAACATTGTTTATTTGGGCACAGAGCGTAATTGCATGAAGTATGAAATAGAGGGCGGGTAGAACATTGATAATGCGGCATTCTTAAAGTTGACCGTTTTGTAAACGCTAAAGGCTTTAAAAATACTGTTTTGCTGATACCCAGAAAAGGCCCAGCAGTGTGAACCGCAGCAAGCTCTGGCTGTAGCCTTCTCTTTTCTGGAACTTGGATGTCGTGCTGCACCCGTTGGCCTTTGTTACAGACCTCCTCTGACCACACTTTGTTGTTGTGGTGGTGGTTTATACAACCCGCTTTAGCCCCGGTGACAAGGCCGCGTCTGCATCTGCGTTTCCCGGGCCTTTGTGCTCGGGCAAGTCCGGCTTTGTGCTGGGGGCTGCGGGTGGGCTCGGCGTCAGCGTTGACCCTGCTTTGCGGTTTAGACATTGAGCTCCGCTGAGGGGATGCCTGTGGGCACGGGGCCCCCAGGACGAGCCGGTGTGGCTCTGTCAAGGAGGCTGTCGCTCTGCTTCTCTGCTGCTCCTCTTCTTGCCACCTTGCGTAGCGGGCGGAGCCACACGGGATTGCCGGTGTCCGGCCGTTTCCACCTGCAGGCGTGACAGGTCCCTGCTGTGCAACCTCATGCCTGTGGAGGGGTGGCCTAGAGAAGGTGCAGGGCGTGGCGTGGGGCACGGGGGACCTCCCGTGCGCTCCGGGTGGCCGGTGCGGCAGGAGGGCGTGAGGAGGAGGCGCGTCACCAGGGGTATTCTCTCATAAAGGCTGTTTTTCTGTTAAGGTGGGGCTGGCCCTTCCCCTTTCACTCTGGCCCATTGAAAAACTTAATATCTGGAGTTTGTCTGAAACCAGCATTTCTGAAAAAAGAAAGAAAAGAAGAGCTAACTATTACAGGGGCTGTTGATTCTCCATTCTGCCCCTCAGAACAGTGTTACACTGTTAGTGTTGACGTTGAGGACACGCTCCAGTGTGTCAGGTGCCGAGTGTGAGAACCCTGCTCGGGAGGACCGCTGGGTCTGGGTGGGAGGCACTGTCCCCCCGCCCCGCCGTGGCCGGGGGGACGGGCAGTTCCACACGACGGGCGAGGGGAGAGTGACTGCATGCGCCCTGCCGGTTCACAAGGAGCACGTGGCTGCGGACCGGACTTGCTCGTCACCAGGTTCAGGTTCCGGAGCAGGAGAACCTGATGGCTCAACAGGGTGTCGGGTCCGTCCGCAGGGTCCAGGCGAAACCCATCAGGCAGCCCTGCTCCGCAGCGGGTGTTTCCCCGAGGGCCCGAGTGTTCGGGGTGCAGCACCTCCCTGCCTCCCTTGCCAGAAACTTCATTTTGCCCTTGGGACAGACAGTCCTGTTGACACTCTGTATCAATGACAAAGTGCATGCTGTAGTCGTACCGAACAGTTATGTGCATGAAGGAAAGGCTAGTCCGTGGATTTTGCTGTCCTGGCGCGTGCGGTCACCTGCCCTGGAACGTCACTGTCCTGCCCGCACTGTAGGTGGCGCCCGCTGCCGCATGCCGCGGAGCACCCTGTGTCTGGGCGCTGAGAGTCCAGCATTTTCCTGTAAGGAATCCACGGCGCACTTGGGGAAGGCATACGTTTCCTGCCCGTTGTCACGTTCCAGAAGGCTGGGTTTGCCTTTCTTAACCGAAGAAGTGTGTGCATTTCTCTGTGCAGATAAAAACACATTTTGGGGGGCCGTGTTTTTCTTCAGATACTCAGTTGTAGAAGGTTTTCACACGGGGACGTGCCCTGTGCCGCGCCCCCGGCGGAGCCCAGGGCCCGGCAGAGGACGGTGCGCAGGCTCCCCACGTGCCATTTCTGCTCGTGCGTCTTGGGGCTGCTGGTGATTTGTGTCATGTCTTGTGCGGTTTCCTCCCTAACTTTTCACTGTAAATTTGACTTTTGACATGTTTCATAGTTGTTGAAATTGTACTTTTTTCTCTTCAGCGGCATTCAAATGCATCACAGTCACTTTGTGAAATTGTTCGCCTGAGCAGAGACCAGATGTTACAAATTCAGAACAGTGCAGAACCCGACCCTCTGCTTGCCACTCTAGAAAAGTATGTTTCAAACTCTGTTCTTGTCCTTTGTTCATACTGATGCTGTTTGATGTGTTGCCATTGTGAGATTGGTAAGTGTTTCTCATGCGGGAGTCACCCCCTGGAAAATAGTACCCGTGGGTGGGTGGGCGGGTGGGTGGGAAGGTGGGAAAATCGCTTATCTGGTCCTAGCCCTTTGTGATGCCCGGTGGAGACCTGCAGGGTGGGAACGTAAATAAATGACATTTATATGTAGACTGAACTTGCAGACAGTTTAAACAAGAGTTCTGTAAAGCCACCGTGAGGTGGGGTAACCACATCATAACTGTGCCCATGGCCTCCACGGGTGTTGGGTGGCGGGTTTCTGTGTACGAACTAATCTGACCTACTTTAATGAACAGTGTTCTCAGAACCCATCTTAGGGTTTACTTTGCTTTTGTGGCCGGCCGAGGGCACCCTTACCAGACCTGATTGGAAGGGGTACAGTGTCGTGTGTGTTTCATTTCTTTGTACTGATCCTGCCATTACTTTTAGAGGACCCCTAAGTGGACAGCCATGTCGTGTTTAGGCGGAAGACAGCCTGAGGGTGGTGTGCTCTTTCGAGATTTGTTAGTGGCCAACCTGCGTGTACTAGTTTTTCTAGAATCAGACAGTTTCAAAGAGAGTCTTTACCATCAAACATGGGCGTCCGTTTGACCTGCGTTCATACAGATGGAAGTATTTTAACAAAGGAAAGCCAGGCGCTTTCCCAGTCAGATGAGTGATGGACAGTCGGCCTTCAGTGCCGAGGGCCGTCTCGTGTCACGTTACTGCCGCCGCTGCTCTTGTCGTGACTGTGTCGGTCCGGGTTCCGCCCTCCTGTGCGTGAGGCCCGTGTGCACACTTGGTTAACTACTGGGAAGGCCCATGTATGCGTGCATGCATGCATGTATGTATGGTTAATGATTATCCTCACCGGAGGACATGTGTATGGATTTAGAGAGGGAGGGAGGGAGGGAGGGAGGGAGGGAGGGGGGGAGAGAGAACCATCAAGGTGAGAAAGAGAGTAGCATCGGTCAGTTGCTTCCTTTGTACGCCTGACTGGGAATCGAACCTGCGTCCTTCTGATGCACAGGATGATGTTCAACTGACTGAGTCCCCCCAGCCAGGGGACCCTTTTATTAAAGTAAACATTTGTATGTATTATTTACTTGGCAAGCATGACACGAGCAAGGAGCAAATTAGGGACACGGTATCTCGTTTTAAACTCTGCCTCCCGAGCAGCTGCACCTCCCCGTGCGTGTTACAGAGCGGGGCGCGGTCGGCCAGTTCTCTCAAGTGGTGGCGTCGAGATCGTCGGCGTCCGAGTGCAGTGCCCTCCTACTGCCCCGTGTCCGTGACTCTGGGCATCACGGCATGTGCGCTCCTTTCGTAACGTGCAGGACGTTCTGCATTCAGATACTAGTGATTGTCGTCGTAGCAGGTGGGAATGGCCATTGAGTGTGTTAAAAATACTGAGCAGTAGCTGTTTCATGACAGCACTGTTCAAGAGAAACATAAAAGCTACATGTGATTTAAAGTTTTCTAACATTAAAATAAAAATAGCTGAAATTAATTTTAATAGTATACTTTTATTTACTCTAAAATACAGAAAGTAACATTTCCACATATGTATACTCGTTAAAAAAACTATTAGTGAGATAAAGTTGGCCCTCCATATCTGCAGGTTCCTCATCTGTGGATTCAGCCACTCACAGATCAACAATGTGGGGCCCCAGCCGGGCGGCGCGGGTGGCTGCCACACTGCCCCGTGCGCAGAGAGGCTGTGGGTGAGCGCCGGGCCGGTCGGGAGGGAGCCCTGCGGTCTCCGCGCCTGCGCAGCCCTCTGCCCACACGGCGCAGCCCGGACCGAATGGGCTCCCACCCTGCGAGCCTGCCCGTCCAGTGTTAGGGTCAGGCCGCGCCTTCAGCGTTCTCTGCGGGCAGGCGCGTGCCCAGAGCTGCTGCTGTGAAGTGTCGGTTGGAGGAGGTTTCTTCAAACACGTGGACCCATGAGGCAGAGGCCCCACCGTGCCACTGAGTTGGGCCTTCCGTGCCCGTAGCAGTGGGGAGACTCACTCTGCTCCCCACACTCCCCTTGAGACTGAGAACCAGTCCTCGAAGTACCAGACACACACCCACATGAGGGTGGTTCTTTTAGCATCTGTGGATTGGGAAAATACACAGTGGCAAAAGGTTTCTTTCTGTGAGCTTAGTAAACTTTTATAAAATCATAATAGGTTTTTTACCTATGTGATAAATTATTGAGTAAAAATATTAGTAGGCCAGTCTACTGGCGGTATGTAGTGTACAGATTACCTGAACCCATTATACCAGACGACGCACAGGTTGGGACCACTGTGCGTGTTGTGCGTATAAATGCACCACGTTTTTGGACCATAAGATGCACCTAAGTTTTAGAGGAGGAAAATAGGAAAAAAATTTTGAAGCAAAAAATGGGGTAAAATATCTAATAACATAAATAACATAATATTTCACCAGTGTAAATATAAACAGAACTCAATAGCAGCATTAACAACCATTATCCCTCACAGATTTGGGGGGTGCATCTTACAGTCCAAAAAGTATGGTCAGCGCAGGTTAGCACGTGAAGGGCAGTCCGGGAGGAGCCCAGTTGGAGAGCGTGGTGACGTGGGAGGGGCTGCAGCGTCCGACCACAGGCTCTAGCCTGGGAAGCAGTCTGGGCTTAAACAGAATGTATTCGGTCCAGTGGCTCTGGAAAACTTTCAAGTTCAAAAATTTTCTGCAAAATGGTTGTATTAGAGATAGTTGGACTGTGCAGCTCTTAATTCTTAATACTGATAAACTCAGAATGAGCTGGGTTTGCTCCCTGTTGAGCGAGGAAGCTCTATGGAAGAGAGCTGTTCCCTGACCGCCCATATGAACACAGAAGAGAAGCGAGCCGTGGCCTCGCAGGCACAGGTACGGGCCCTGCATGGCTCAGGGCTGGGCCGGCTCATCTCAGGGGTTCCATTGGTGCGTGGCCAAGAAATGTACTTTTTTTTTTTTATGTGAAAATGACTATATTTTCTCTCACATGTAAATAAATACCTTAAAGAATTGCGAAGGCATTCCTTTTATTCTGTTGGATAAGCTCAGTCCCCCAGTTTATGGTTTCTTCTGTATTTGGTGATATTTGTTCATTTAGATAAGACTCAGAATATAGCTCAGCTGCTGGATTACCTTGGCCATCAACTGTGTGCAGGTTATTGCATTGTTTCTGTCCGCCAGTGGAGTGCTTCCTTGGGTGTAGTAAACTTCCAACGTGATGCAGCCCTGAAATAGCGGGGGTCTGTCTGTGAGCACCGCTGGTACAGTGCTGGTTTGGGCAGGGCCCACGAGTCAGTGCAGCACAGCTCTGGGAGTACCCGAAAGCTGTGTTCTGCAGGGTGGTCCTCCGAGTTCGAAGTTCATTAGGCACCAGCTTTGCTTCTCCTGAGGAGAGAGAGACCTCTCCTCCTTGCTGCGCTAGCCCACGGGGGGCGTGGTGGGACACCCTGAAGCCCTGGGTGACCGGCTCGAGCAAGCGGGGCAGGTCGGCTCTGTGTCACCTTGTAAAGGAGCTTCCTTTTCTCAGTCTGCATGGAATCTGGAAATCGCTGAGGTCCTGAGACACAGGTTCTCCTTGAGACGGGCCATGTACGTGGCCTTAGCAGGTCACCCTTGCTTTTTAGATCAGCTGGTCTTGGCTGTGCACAGTTCAGGGGCGGGGCTGGGGGCTCGGTCTTGGGGAGAGCCCACACAGAGTACTTTGGGCAGACCATTCCGTGGCTGCCATGCTGCGTTGATTGATCACATTTTAAGTATAAAAGGCAGTGATTGGTGTTCTCTTTTACCTGTTTTACATGTTTGTCGATTACACGTTAATGCCTTTGTGGGTAAACATTTCTAGGTCCTAATTAGCCTTTTTGAAAAATTTCCCTTTTTCATGGGGGCCAAGGGTTCTAAGTCTTACTGTCCCACCCCAGCCACTGCCGCCACCACCACCACCACACCCTGGTCAGAGTGGGAGGTGACGTCCAGTCTTGAAATAGTCATTGGCTCCCAGCAAGATAGGCAAAGGCAAGCAGGGGGCAGATGATTGTGCTGAGGGTAAGGGGTGGGAATACCTGCATGGGAAAGTGGCATTTATAATGAGCAGAGTCACCTGCCTGGGTTAATAAACGCATGAAAAGGAAAACACTGTTAAGGGAACAGACATTTGCGGGCAACATTGAGTGCTAGTTTGGTATTATTTCACTGGTGTCGTGACCTTTTTCTCTGAAGTTGTTACTGGCAAATGATGTTACAATTAGCACTTGACTGTTGATTTGTCTCCCCAGGCAAGAAATCATAGAGCAGCTTCTATCAAATATTTTCCACAAGGATAAAAACGAATCGGCCATAGTCAGTGCAATCCAGATACTGCTGACTTTACTCGAGACCCGACGGCCCACGTAAGCTTTTCTTTTGTCTTACAGAATGAGTAGTTTCGTTTTGCTTTTAGATGTTTTTAAAAGCTGAGAGTCGAGGCATTGGTTATAAGCTACAATACCATTGAATTTCAGATGCTGAGTCTTTTTTTGCTATATAAACTATAAGTAAGTCTAATGTGAATGCAGTACCAAGGGATACGGTTGAGAAATACGGTTTGGTAAATGCTTTTGTCGGTATTTGGACTGTGGTCATTTGGGTTTTTATAATACATGTCTGATGGTTTAAACACAAGAGAAGCTTATTTTTTGCTTAAGAAAATAGGTGTTCTGGTTGTGGGCAGGGCTACGCCAAGGGGCGATTGGGGGGCTCCCTGCCCAGTGACTTCCTTCCTCCGCCTGCGAACGTGAGGCTTCGGGTGGGTGGGGTGGTTCGCGTGTGAGGGCGCTGCATCACGAGGCTGCTCTGACGTGGGTGGCAGGAAACCGAGATCTTAGAGACAAATTTGTGCTCAGGGTTCAGAATCGGAGATGTTTTCCCCACGTGTGCCCCTGGACTAGCCCTTTAGTATCTGACCAGCACTAATTAATTTACCTGCGTCAGTTTTCTGACTGCTCCCTGAGCGTGACACCTGGAGGAGGGGTGTCTGTGTGTCCGTCTGCGGTGTGCGGTCCGGGGACCGGGCACGCCTGGCTGCCGGAGGGCGCGGAGCGGGGGCCACGGGGGGCCTGCTGTGGGCGTCCGGGGCCTCGGCCGTCCGAGGCTTCTGGGTTTGCTTTTAATGTGTCGTCTTCATTTCTGGCATGTGAATAGTGAACACAGCCTCACCAACCCCTGCTTCCCAAATTCCTGGTGTCCGTCCCTGGCACGCCTGCCTTTTGGCCAGTGATAATGGGAGGACATTGTGGTGGCTGTGCTTCCAGTCCCTCGTGATTTTGGGGCTGTGTCTGTCCTCTCGACTCTGTCTTCCCTGGGGAATCGTAGTTTAAATAATGCAGCCTGCACCTGAGGCATCGATCCGGTGACACGGGGCTGCTGTCTTGCTGTGAGGCGGTCACACCGTCTCACCTGAAGTGCTCCCGTGACATGAGAAGGAGATGCACCCGAGAAACGTGACGCCCGTCTGCGTAGGGAAGAGAGGAACAGCATCGCCGCACAACTCAGGGCAGGGGACACAGCAGTGAGAGAAAGAATGGAAGGAATTATTGATCGGGAGGAATTATCCCCAGGCCAAAAAAGGTTTATCGAGTACTAAAGAATATTAACCTTTTTAAAAACAGGACTCAGATTTTGGCCTTATCCTGATGAGATTTCTAAATCCCAAGGAAAAACGGTAAATCTAAAAGTGTGTGGGTAAGAGCCCTGACCCGCGTGGCGTGGCGTGGTTGAGCGTTGTCCCGCAAAGCGAAAGGATGCTTGTTCGATTCCCAGTCAGGGCACGTGCCTGGGTTGTGGGTTCCGTTCCCATAGGGGGCGCTCAGGAGAGGCAACCAATTGCTGTTTCTTTCCATCTCTTTCCTTCCCCTTCTCTCTAAATAAATAAAATCTTTTTAAAGTGTATGGATAATAAACATGGGTTAACTACAGAGTAAGTCCGGTTGCTGGGCAAATCATTTGTAAAACTAAGTAGTGAAAGACGGGGCAGGATGGTGACCCTGGAATACTCTTGCCGTCTGTGCTGTGTCCCTGGGGTGAATTAAAGATGAGCTGCTCCACAGCCGAACAGGAAAGGCGGTTAGAATGAAGAACTTGAGGCACGGAGATGTATTAGTAAAAGCGATGACAAGTGAAATGGGTAGGGGTGATCAAAATTAATGTGACTGTATAAGTTAAGTGTTAAGAATGATTAAATATTGAAAACAAAACAGAATCAAATCCAGATGATTTTAACAAAACTCAAGAAATACGAAGGTGTAAGTGCATATTGGTGTTCGGTGTAGACTGAGGAGCTGGGGCGCTTCCGCACACAGACGTCGCCGAGGAAAGGTGCGGGGCGTGAGAAGGTACTCGTGCCGGAGTGTGACGAGGCAGACCAAAAAGACAGGTGCTTTGTGAGCTGCAAGGGCCTAGAAGGAAGGACCTGCCATTTCGTAACAAGTAGGAGTGCCCAGATCTGAATTGCAATGCCGTTCTCCAGGGAATGAGACCAGGGCCCCTTGGAGAAGTGCCTTGTTCTGTGACGAGGGCAAGAAAAAGTCAAGAAGAGTCTGGAGCGTTGTGTAGTGTAGAGGGGAAGGAGGTACTCAGAACCCACCACAGTGAGGGGTGTGTCGGGGACACGGGGGCCACAGCCGGCACAATTTCCACAGTAAACTATAGCAGTATTGTATTGTCACCCAGTATATAAATCTCTGCAAACAAATAAATAGGGGAGAAAAGACAAACCTGTGGAAAATTTCAAGTAGTTCACATAGATACCCTCCCCTGGAGGGGGAAGGACAAAACTTGCTCTTTCCATGCCGACCGCCCCCATGACCTCCCTCCCGGGCGTGCGGTCGGGGCAGAGGGCGGAGAAGGCCCGAGAGAGCCCCGGCAGGCGCGGCCCCGGCCGGCGACGAGCTGTGTTTGCAGCACGTCTGTCTCCATGGTGCGGTGCTGGGAGCATGGCACGGGACCCGTGCGGTCTGCCTTTCAAAGACCCGAGATCCCGGGGCAAAGGGAAGAGACACCCCATTCGAGGGACGTGCTGCCGGACGCGTGACAGCTCCGCCTGAGGACTCGCTCAGCCGGGAGGAGGTTATGGAGACACGGAAAGGACGTTTTAGGTAAAAACTAAGGAAATCTGAATGAAGATCTGTGGGTTTCATTTATCAGTGTTGGTTCATTAATTGTGATGAGTGTATCCTTCTCAGGTACGATGTTAATGGGGGAAATGCAGCGTGGGTTGTGTGGAGCTCTGTACCATCTCTGTCATCTTTCCATAAATCTGAAACATTCCACTCGACAGTGACACAACGTCTAGACAGAAAGTGATTACGTGTACAGAAGACTTGAACCACACTAGCAACCCACTTGCCCTGGCACTTTCAGAACCTCCCCTGCAACCACAGGGCGTACATTCTGTTCAAGTGCCCGTGGAACTGCTACCAAGGTAGATAAGACCAGCTTCTCCGCCATGAAGCAAACCTCAACACGTTACAACACAAAGTCATAGACAGTGTATATGCAGAGCATGATGGGTTTAAAGTAGCAATCAATAAAAAAAGATTTACGGAATATCATTAAATATTTGGAAATGAAACAACACAACTTAGAAATAACCCCAAGTGTCAAAGTGCAAATAACAAGAAAAATGAAAAAATGTTTTGAACTTATTGATTAAATGGAAACAGAACGTTTTGTTTGGAATTTATGGAATATATCAAAAGCAGCAGGGGGAAGTTTATAGCATTAAATATTTATATTAGAAGGGAAAAGCAGTCTTGTGTCAATGATCTGAGCTCCCATGTTAAGGAACTAGTAAAGGAAGAGCAAATTAAACCCATTACAAGCAGAGAAATAAAAATAATAGCAGAGGGCAAAAGAGATTGAGAAGGGAAAAACGTTTCAAAAAAAATCAATGGAACTAAAACTTTCTTAGAAAAGATAAAGTTAAACTTCTAGGCAAATTGACTAAGAAAAAAGGTAGGAAAGACACAAATTCTAAATAACAAGAATGGAAAAGGGGACATAAGTGCCTTCCCTACAGATGTTAAAAGAATAATAAAGCCCTGACTGGTGTGGCTCAGTGGGTTGAGTGCAGGCCTGCGAACCAGGATCGCCGGTTCGTTCCCAGTCAGGGCACACGCCTGGGCTGTGGGGCCGGTCCCCAGTAGGGGGCGAGCAAGAGGCAACCACACACTGATGTTTCTCTCCCTCTCTTTCTCCCTCCCGTGCCTCTCCAAAAATAAATAAATAAATAAATAAATAAATATCTTTAAAAAGTTAAAAAAAAAGAATAGAATACTACAAACAAATCATTACACAAATTCAACAGGTTAGAGGAGGACAGATTTCTTGGAGGAATAAAGCTACCAAAGCTCACTCAAAAAGATAAAATAACATTAACAGACTTGTATCTATTTGAAGAAATTGAATTCATATTTTAAAAGCTTCCAGCAAAGAAAACTCTCAGCCCAGTGTGGCTTCATTGGTGAATTCTGCCCAAGATTGAAGGACTTCCAGAACACTCCCCAGTTCATCTGGCGAGACTAGCATTACCTTGAAACTAGACAAGAACATTACAGAAATGGCGGCTGTCTAATGGGGTTCCACGAGAGCTTCAGTGCAGAATTCCTCGAGCAGATGTGCGTGAGTATATCTTAACAATATATCTAACAAAAGTCAGTCAGTGAGGATGGTCTACACCCAGGCCCCGCCCCCGATGCTGGTGAGACCGGGGCAGCAGGAACTCGCGCTCCCCGCCGCTGAGAACGCGGGATGGGGCCGCCGACGGCTCCTCGCAAAGCTCAGCGTGCTGCACACCCAGAGGGGCTGAAAACCATCACACAGTGTTCGCAGCAGCTTTGTCTGCAACTGGCAAAACTTGGAAGCAACCAGGATGTGCCCTTCGGTAGGTAGGTGGGTAAAGAAACTAACTCGGGTACATCTGACAATGTAATATTGCTCGTTGCTAAAAAGAATGAACTCTGAAGCTATGGGAAGACCTGGAGAAACCTTAAATGCATATTACTAAGTGAAAGAAGCCAATCTGAAAAGGCTACATACAGTATAATTCCACGTATATGACATTCTGGAAAAAGCAAGACTGTGGAGACAGTAAAAAAATCAGTAGTTGCCAGAGGTTGATGGGGGTGTGGGGCGGTGAACAGGTAGGAGAGAGGGTTTTTAGGACAGTGAACGATGGTGTGTCCATTCTACACTTGTCCGAACCCGTGGAGCGTACCACCAGTGCACGGGGACAGTGTGGACGCTGGGCTTTGGGTGGCTGTGATGTGTTACCCGTGGAGGCTGACGGAGTGGAACGAATGCAGCACCCCCGGGGCGCGTGGCTAACGGGGAGTGTTTGCCTGTGTCGTGGTGGGGGCATGTGCACAGTCTCTGTACCTTCCCCTCCGTTCTGCTGTGCACTTAAAACTGCTGTATAAAAATAAAGTATTAACAAAAGTCACTCAGTAACTCACATCAACAGCCTGAAGAAGAAAAATCTTGTGGTCACTTCATTAAATTCTTTTATGGTAAAACCTCTCAGCAAATGAGTAATAGAAAGGAATGTGGAAACAGATAAAGCCCTTTTTAGAAAGAGGAAACCCAAAGCCAACGTTATTCTTAAAGGTCAAAGACCGGAGCGATGGCGCCTAAAATCAAGGAACATAGCAAGGACATTGCCATCACTGCCCCCGTCCGGCCTGGTGCTGGGGGCGTGCAGGAAAGCGTCCCTCCGGATGGTGAAGGGAGGCGTGGCGCCGAGCCTGCTGCCGGTGTCCGCACACCTTGGAAAACCCTGCAGAACACACGCCGCGCTCCTGAGCAAATTGAGCGGGACCCTGGGCTCTTAATAAGGTCAGCATTCAACAAGTAGTCGCATTTCTTCTCTACAAGTAGCAAACAATTAGATGTGGGAATTCCCATAGAATACCATTTACTTTAAAAGCTCTTAACCATTTTGAACTCCTTTGGATAAAGACCAAGGAGCACAATTGCTGGGTTGCACAGAAAAAAAGGAAGTATTTAGATGTAAATCAAAAAGGCGACCTAAATAAAGGGGGAGAGACTGGGGTCGTGGATTAGAGGACCTCACATGGTTGAGATGTCAGTTCTTCCCAAACTGATAGGGAAATTCAGAGTAATTCTAATTAAAATCCAAGCCGGTTTGCTTTCTTTTGTTTTGAGAAAGCTGATTCTAAAACATACGTAGAGGTTCAAAGCAAATATGGTAGCCGAAACAGTTTTGAAAGCGACAGTAAAAATACCACTGACACTAAGTTAAAGCCGTGGCGATCAGCACGGTGTGGTGTTCGTTGGTGAGAGGGCGGGCCAGCCGTCACTCATACAGATTGGAGGCCGCAAGTAGGCCCACATGTGTATAGTTAGTTGGTTCCTTTTTAAAAAAAAAAGTTTTGTTGAATTTATTGATGTGACTTTGGTTGATAAAATTATATGGGTTTTAAGTGGTCAGGTTCTTAACAGAGGCCTGGAGGCAGTGCAGTGGAGAAAGGACCGCCCTTTCGGCGTGGTGCCAGAACACGGTCTGTCTGCAGAAAGGCGGGCCTAGGCATGTGCCTTGCACACTGTGCAGAAATTAACTTCAAATGGATCATAGAAGTAACTGTAAGTTCCAGAACTATATAAATGTTCTAGGAGAAAAGTCCGTGACCTCGAGTTAGGTAGAAGTTTGTTAGATAGAGCACCAAAGCCCAATCCATCAAAGAAAAGTTGACACCTCCACCTGTGTCAAAATCCTAAGTTCTGCTCTTGGAAAGACTCTTAAGAAAATGAGAGGGCGAGCTGCAGACCACCAGAAAACATCTGCAGATCTCGTTTTGGAGAAAGGGCTTATATCCAGATATATGCAGAACACTGAAAATGGCGAGAAAAACAGTCTGGTTTTAAAGAAGGTCAGAATATTTAAGCACTGAAAGAATTGTATATACGTATATGTATCTCAAATTCATGAAAAGGTGGGCTGCGGCATTGGTCACTAGTGCAAATCATCCTGAAACCACGTTGAGATGCCGCTGCACACCTTTTGAGCAACTTGTGTTTTCTGGGGCTTCGGCAACAATTTACCGGGAACTCTATGGCTTAAAATGACAGAAATTGATTCTCTTACTGTCCGAATGCCGGAAGTCCAAGGTCGAGGTGTCAGCAGTGCTACACCCCCTCCGGAGGCTCGGGAGGCTCAGCCTTCGCCCTCCAGTTTCTGGTGGCTGCCGGTGTCCTTCGGTGTGTGGGCACCTCTTCACATCACCTCCTCAGTGTCCGTGTCTGTCCTCTCTCGCAAGGACACTAGGGCTGACGTCCAGGGTAGTCTCATCTGAAGATGCTCGTTAACTACGTCTTTAAGGGAACACCTGTAGGCTCTGGGGACTAGAACGTGGGCATACCTTTCGGGGGCCACCGGTGGACCTACTGCACAGCCCAGCCAGACGAGAAGAGCACACAGTGCCCAGCGCTGGTGACGCTGGGGAGCAGCTGGACACCCCAAACGCCGTGGGGTTGCAGGGTGACGTCGCCACTTTCTAAAAACATTTGGGAGTTTCTTACAAAGTTAACCAGACATTTATCGTGTTATTCAGCAGTCTCTTAGGTATTTACCCAAGTGGAATAAAAACTGGATCTCACAGACTTGTGAGTGTTTATGTCACCTGTATTTGCAGTTGCCTCGAACTGGAAGCGAGCCAGGGGGTGGTGAATGGGTAAGGGCTGCGGTAAGCCCGCACGGCAGCTACTGAGCGATAAAGAGGGACAGACCGCTGGTTCGCAGACATCTGTCACTGCTGTGCCGCCCCAGTCTAAGCTCCACATTTAATGAATCTCTGCTTGGAATGCCAGCAGTGGTTTTGTTTTGGATCTGGCAGATTCGTACGTGTATTCGAAAAAAGTAAATGTGAGACTAGCCAAGAGATTTCGAGCAAGACCAATGATTGATCTTGCATAACACACCGCATCACCGGTGTAGTACATGCGGCGGTGTGATACTGGTGTTCCTGTGAATGATGAAGGCTCTTTACTGTTTTGTGTTTTTTTTACTTAAGCAAGGAAAGGGGATTGTTCTATAAATATGGCTTAGGTAGTTACCACTTGGGGGAAAATATGTCTGCACCTCTTTGGCTTAAAAATACATTCCAGGTGAACTAATTTAAAAATACTAGAGGGAAGTATACACATACTCAAAAGAACTACGGAATTGTGAAGAACTTTTAAGCATGACTCTTTACACAGAAACTGTAATAAAAAAAAAAAGCCGTATTTGGCCGCATAAATTATTAAAACCCCTGCACATTCGAAAGCACTATAATCTTTCCCCTCCGCCTGCTTCCCGGTCATTGAGTGTCTGATGCTCTTCCATGCAGCTCTTGCCGTTAGAAATCACTGCCGTGTGCGGGGCGTCTTCAAGCACTAGTCATAGTAAGCACTCGGGACGCTCGCTCTGGGCCGGGCAGTGCTCGGTTCTGGGCCTGCGTCGGCGCGATCCCCGCGGCCGTCCCGGGAGAGACCTTGTTGGGTGAGCCCACTTTCCGCGTGGGAGCGGACGACTGGGGAGGGAAGCGCCGGGACGCGATGCGGGCTTGGGCGGCCCTGCTCCAGCGGCAGCACGGCGGGCCCCAGCCTGCTCTGGTGTTCCGCGGGCACGCCGCTTCCGGGCACGTCTTTGCATCCGAGCGGCGCCCCTGCACTTTTAGGCCCCTCCTCCCTGGGGTCCTTTCTGTTCCCTGGGGCTCTGTCCTGCTGCCACTAGGGGCACCCCTGCGCCCGAGTGCTCACGCCCAGTGTGGTCAGGGAGCCCCGCCCCGTCTGCAGCCCCTCGGGTGGACCGCAGTGCCTGCAGGCTGAGCTTCAGGGGGAGGAATCGTTGAGGCCTTTTAAGTGGGAAGCAGTGCAGGCGACTGAAGGGAAACCGCAGTGAGTGCAGGCTGCTGCCAGCACCCCAGGTGTCAGGCGGCGTGGTCTGCCCCGGGACTCGGGGGCAGGGCTCCTGCGCGTCAGAGTTTCTGGGTGCAGCGCTGGCAGCAGCCCCACCGTCCGAGGAGGTAGACAGTCCAAGTGATTGGGAAGGAATCGCACACAGTTTCTCACCCGACGGCCTGGGCCTTTGGGCTTCAGGTCGTGTTGGCCCATCCCTATTGAGTGTCTGTTCCCCACACTCTCAGTAATGTTGATGGATCCTCACATATTTGTGCAGCTTTTGTGTATGTATTTACATGCTGAAATGGAGCACCGTGGTTTATTCTGCAATTGTAATAACTGTAATTGACTTGTTTTATTTCAAGATTTGAAGGCCATATAGAGATCTGCCCACCAGGCATGAGTCATTCAGTGTGTTCGGTCAACAAGAGTGTTCTAGAAGCCATCCGAGGAAGACTCGGCTCTTTCCACGAACTCCTGCTTGAGCCACCCAAGGTAAGGCGGCTGTCTCGGGCATGGCCAGCCGGCTCAGCAGTTCGGGTGAACCGTTGCTGGAAAGCAGATAAGCCTTGTGAGTAGCAGAGCTGGCTCTGACCAGCATGTCTAGAACACGTGACCGACACACTGCCAGTGGTCTTTACTGCTTTTGAGCTAGTTTCTAATTGGCTTTTATTGGTGTGTTGTGTCTAAATGAATGAATCGTGCCCAATTACAATCAAACAAATTAGTACCTGCTTAGGAAACTCAGCCTTTGTTCTTTCTATAAATTCTGGTTACCAGTACGCCCATAAAATAAACACTTTCCTTTGCATAACATGTTACTGGCACGTATTTGAGGTAAGGTGAACCTGTGAGAAACCGACCCTGGAGGCGGAGGGTCCTCTCAGAGCTGGAGCAGTGCAGTGGGTGACGGACACGTGCTTACTGACGAGGCTTCTGGAGGGGGCGGGCGTGTGAGAGCGCGGGTAGCCGCCAGAGGAGGCCCGCACCACCCCGCACAGCGGTGCTCAGGTCAGGGGAGGGGCTCCTCCCTGGCCACCTGGAAGGCGGCCGCCCCAGTGCGGAGAGTTTGCCAGCACCAGCTCTCGGGCGTTCCTCTTCCTCCGCCCTGTGCCGCCGTATCCAGGGCCTGGCCATTGTCACACAAGCCTCTGTGGCATCTACTGAGTGAGTTTCTGGGCATTTACATTTAGTATACTAGCTGCCCTGGCTGGTATGGCTCAGTGGGAACAAAGGGTTGCCGGTTCGATTCCCAGTCAGGGTTGTGGGCCAGGGCCCCAGGAGCGGGTGCGTGAGAGGCAACCACAGATGGATGTTTCTCTCCCTCTCTTACTGCCTCCCTTCCCCTCTGTCTAAAAATATATAAATAAGATCTTTTTTTAAATGAGAAATATTTTTAAAAAATAAGTTAATATACTAGTTTCTCCCTCCTAAATGTAATTTTTTTTGGTGTAGCCATTTCATGGCATTGGAGCCCAGAATAATTGACATTGTTACCCAGGGAGTCTCGTTCAGCTTCCAGATGGTCTGTTCCCACGTGATGCTGCTGGGCGGGGTCCGCTCCCGCCATGCAGTCTCCCGCCCCGCCTGTGTGGGGCGCCCTCGGGGAAAGTGCCAGTGGTGTGGTCAGGCCCAGGCCGCAGACCAGGGAGCGCAGAGAAGAAAGGGAACGGATTCCGTTAGGAGAGGAGGACGTCACGAGTGGAAGTCGGGAGGGGGGGGGCATGCGAGGAGAGGGTGTGCGGTGAAGGCCCCGGGACCCGTGCCCTGGTGGCCTGCCCGTCTTCCTTCCCGCGGGCCCCGAAGGGCAGTGTCTGACGACGAGGAGTCTCACACTCGTGTCCCCTCGGCCCTGGCCCAGAGTCGGGGAGAGTCCCGTTTGGAGAGCCGTCAGTTTGCACCTGGCTTCACCGCCGGCGTTTGCGTGGGCGGACCCGACCCGCGGAGCTTTTTCATGGGCCTGGGGAGTGGAGCGGTCGTGCTGTGAGCAGGCCCGCCCGCGGGCCCACGAAGCCTCCGGGGAGCGGCAGGGGCAAGGGTGCTGTCGCGGGCGGGGCCCTGGGGAAGACCACCGCCCCTCCTGAACCGGAACTCTGCGAGGCCCTGCGCCCGCCCTTTGTGGGTTCCCGCGGTGGAAACTCCCTTCTCCGGACAACAGGAGCAGGTCGGGGGGTGTCTTGTTTCCAGGTTGGGGTCCCGCGGCAGCGCCCGAGTTGGCATTTTCACCGCAGGTTTGGCCGAGACCAGGACTGTCCAGAGCCGCCTGCACCTCCTCCTGGCGCCCGCCCCGGCCGGGAGTCGGGAACGCGGCACTGCACGCGGGCTCCTGCGGCCTTCCGCCTCCTTCCGGGCAGTCCGGGGTTCGAGGCCGGGCGCCGTGTCCCTGCAGAATCACACCCCAGGGGAACGGCTGGCTTGTTGTTGCTCTTGGTGGTTCCATTGTACCGTGAAGACACCGGTTTTCCTGCCAGAGGAGAATTCCGGCCGGACCCTTCTGCAGGCCGGGTTTGCCCGGTGTCCCATCTCGGCACACACCTGCTCCCCGTGCGTCTCCCTCGGTGGGCTGCGTGGCGCAGCTCTTTAATCAGCAGCTTTTTCTCCCTCAGAAAAGTGTGATGAAGACGACGTGGGGCGTGCTGGACCCCCCCGTCGGGAACACCCGGTTGAACGTGATTCGGCTGATATCCAGTCTGCTTCAGACGAACACCAGCAGTATTAACGGGGACCTCATGGAGCTGAACAGCATTGGGGTCATACTGGTAAGGTCCCCGGGAAAGGCATTCCCGTTTGCCCTTGACCTCTCACGGCTGTGGAAGTCAAGGCCCAGCCTCCCTGATGGATGGCGGTGTCCGTACCTTTTCTTGCTCTGAGAGTGAATGGCCTTTTACAGCGTTTTTGCTCTGTGTTTGTCCAAGGTGTTCATCATCGCTGCGTGTAAAGAACTGTGTTAGGGAGCTCCAGAGAGGGTGGAGACGCAGACTCTCCTCTCAGGAAGGTGTCGCGCACGGGTGGCGGAGTAGTGCACACAGCCACCCTCCTCGGGGGTTGTCTGGGCAGTGAGTGACCGCTGCTCAGCAGTGAGTGTCCGCCTGCGCTGCTCCTCGTGGTTAGCGAAGGGACAAGCGCTCGTCGCTTTCCACCGAGATACATCTCTGTGGCGTGTCTGAGGCGCCTTCTGGTCTTCTGATTTGAGTCCAGGTTCTCGAAACAGTTGTTAGTCTGCTTGGCAGTGGAAGGGAAAGGAGGAGCCCGGGAAGGGGCTGGGCCTCTCGGAGCCCCACCCTCCTCCCGGGCCCTGTTGGCTTCGTCCGCGCGGCCCAGACGTCCCCGGGGCTAGCACGTAGCAGGTTCCTCACTGTCCGCGTGGGGCCGTTTCCCAGGAGGGCTGGGCGTTGCATTTGCTCACTACAGGATAGGCACTGGAGAGAAACTTCTTTACATCACGCCCAGAAAAGAGATGCACTCCATGGCCGTACGTGGTGGGGCCGGGATTCGAATTCATATCCCATCTCAAACCCGTGCGTGCTTCTCAGCCGCACCATCGTGCTTCCTGGCGCACTGACAGACTTTGTAACTCTCAGCTCTGGGTTAGAGGGCGTGTCCATGTAAGGCCTGAGAGCTGGGGCATCTTGGAGAAGGGTGACACGTGCAAGGATCCTGACTCCTTCGGCAGCGCAGTTGCTGGCCTCTGGGGGACACCCTTCCTGCCCTCCCAGTGACTGGTGTGTGAAACTTGGGGTGTGCCTTTTGCCCCTGTCTCTGAGGGTCCCCCCAGAGTCATCAGTGCTAGTGTGTCAGTCTTACGAGTGAGGGCGGGACTATTGTTCATCTTTACACCTGATTCGGAGTGATAACACATGTGATGAAACTCTTAAATAGATCATTAGTCATTACTTTTTCATTTGAGGTTAGCTAACTGTACTCAGCAGTATCCCAAATACATCCTTCAACTACGGGTTCTATGCTTTCAGAGATTGTCTTTCCTTTTTGTGATACATTACCTTTTCAGGTGACCTGGAAGTCCCTTGTTTGCTCCTTTCTCTGACAGCTCTGTGCATTCCGGATGCCCACGTGGCTGCCCTTTGTGCAGGTGTGAGCACCTGGGGGCGGGGCCCTGGCCTGTCTGTCTCCTCCGTGCCCCGCACGGGGGAGCAGCTGTTGTTGAATCAGAGTGAGGTTCTCCAGACGTGTTTGGGAAATTACTTACTGGACTTAGTTGCTTTGAAAACATAAAAGGTTACTCCCTTTCTCTTTGATAAACTTACTGTTACCTTTTCTTCACCTGTTTATTGTTGGTTCCTACTCAGTTTCATGAAAACGCCATCATGTCAAGGGGGCAGGTGTTCGTTATGTGCTCTGTGAGGTGGCGTTTCCGACCTTCCACGTAAACTTGTGTTTCCTCTCATTAGTCCTGTGGGACTACCAACGCGTCACTTTTACTTGATTACATCACTGTTCAGTGAATGTTTTAAAGCAGTGGCTTAAACATTGAGGCAACTGAGTAAAAGGAAGCACTGTGTTTCTTTTTCTTAGGACATGTTCTTCAAGTACACATGGAATAACTTCTTACACACGCAAGTGGAAATCTGCATTGCACTGATTCTCTCGAGTCCCTTTGAGAACACGGAAAACAGCACAATTACTGAGCAGGACGCCACTGGCGACAACTTGTTGTTGAAACATGTAAGCTCCCTTGATGTCTTTTTTCTGCCACCCCCCGTCACAGCGTTTTTCCACACGAGTGTGAAATGAGTGAAAATCGCTCCCATTATGGAGTAGAAGTGTCTCTGTGTGTTCTGAGTTACGTTTCTGCCAGGCACAACTTTCTGTACTCTGTTTTAGTTTTGGTCAGGCTCTGTCTTTCTGCGGCCAGTTTCCATGGCCAGTAAAACGCGGCTTGCGTGAGGCCAGCAGCGCACTGGTGGCGGTCCTGGGATGCTGGTCTCCAGCAGGTGCGCGGCTGCGGGCGTGGGCCGGGCCCGGAGCCCCTGCCGCGTTGGGAGAGTCCTGGGGAGGGGGCCGCGCACCGCGGTTGGCTCGGCCGGCAGCCCACAGCCCTGCTCAGCTCGCCGGGTCGTGCATGCCGCTCTTCTTTTTAACTAGAGCGTCGTCTCACTTCAGGATGGTGGCAATTCAACATTTATGTAAGTGTTAACTGGAATGTTCCTTTTTATTCAGCTTTTTCAAAAATGTCAGCTAATAGAACGAATACTTGATGCCTGGGAAATGAATGAGAAGAAACAGTAAGTACACTGTTTTCTGATGGGAACCATTTGGTTTTCTTGTCTGAAGGGAGTGCCCGCAGTGGCCCCAGACAGAGCGTCATGAGGTGGTTACACGGTGTGTGCCACCTGGTAGTTCTGAGAGCCCCTCTCGGGGCGCCGGAGTAGTGTATCGTGACAGGTGTTTTCCCAATAGTTTATTTTTCGACCCCTCTGCCTTTCTACCTCTTGAGGGGATCTGGGGGTTGACAGTACTCCCCACCTCTGTGCTGCCTCTGAGACCCGCGGGTCCTTCTTGAGGAGCGGTTTCCCCGAGAACGGGGTGGAGCTGGAGGAGGGGCTGGAACGTCAGCCCAGTCCCCCTCGCTGGCCGTCTGGCTGGCACGGGTCCCGCCTGCCCCCGTTCTTGGCGCACGGGCGGCGCTGCCATTCGCCGAAGGCGAGATTACTTACTTGAAGTCTCAGTTGATGTGTGTCAGTAGCCGTCACACAGACTTGCTTTTTCCTGGTGGTGCTGCCGGTAGCAGGTGTTTGTCCAGATGGAAAGGTGGACGTAGTTGGGAAGTCAGACCCTGAGCAGGGAAAGGGACGGGGGGGTGGGGGGGCTGCCTGGGCTCTAGGTGCTGTGTGGCCAGACACAAGCTGACCACCTCTCTTGGCCAAATCCTCACATCAACTAAAGTTTTAACTTGAGAAATGCTCTTGATAGATGCTTATCTCTGTTAATTGATTGGTATGATTGGAATTTGATGTCCTTTAAAAAAATGAACCAGACTTCTTACCTCAGTTCCCTGCGAGACCCTGGGCATCGATGAATGTGTGGTTTCCGTTGTTCTTTCGAGACAAGATGTCATTGAGGATGAAGGGTCGGCTGGCTGGCTGGCTGGCTGGCTGGCTGGCTGGTTGGTGTATTTGACTGAACCCTGTCCCATTGAGTGAGGTTCGGTGCAGTCTCTGAGTCGGCAGTTTCCACCACCACCTCCACCCCCACCCCCACCCCCGCCAGCCTGGTGGTGCTCTGGCGCTCTGCTCTGCAGTCCGTTGCCCCGGGTTTTAGAACGATGACTGAAAGCCACTCCGGTGGCACGTTGTCCCCTCTCTCCGTCTGGTCTGGAACCTGAGCGTGTGTCCTCTGCCCCGGCAGGGCCGAGGGAGGCAGGCGGCACGGCTACATGGGGCACCTGACGCGGATCGCCAACTGCATCGTGCACAGCGCCGACAAGGGCCCCAGCAGCGCGCTGGTGCAGCAGCTCCTCAAAGGTGAGCGGTTCCGGGCTTTTCGCTACGTTTTCTTAGCATCAGAGAACGGGTTTAAGGACAGAGTGGAAATGTATCATTGTTAACAGCTGACTGTGGGGTGTCTTCAGTAATTATCTGGAGGTTCGAAAGAGGGTCTTACGAGTGTTTCGGACAGTGGAGTCTTTGCCGTCCTGCTAGCGCGCACCGGCAGGCTTGGCTGAGTTCGGCGTACTGCAGTCACCACCCACTTGTGCTCTCTGGGGGCGCTGCTCAGGGACCTGCCCTTGGGCTCGAAGGGCCCGCAGGCTGGCCTGGAGCCCCTGCAGCTGGAGCCCTTCTGCCTTGCCCTCCCTCCGAAGGCCCCGCTGCAGCCTGTGGGTAGGCTTCCTTTACCTGGGAAATGAAAGCCATGCTCAGCACTTTTTCCTCTCTCCTTGACTAAACAAGGGAGATCGGCTCCTGGAAGACCCTTTCAGGACTAGTGTTGAGATTTAATCAGGTCGAGGCCGCTCGGAAGAACGTGTGTGGGTGCCTTCTACCCTGGCACCCGGGCCACAGACTGTCGCCTCTCAGACCAGAGGCTCCGTGTGCCAGCAGAATCCCGTTCTGGGACTTACTCTCCATGGGAAAAATCTTACTTTTTTTTTTTTTTTTTTAAGTTTGTTTGTTTGTTTGCTTATAGAAAGAGGGGGAGGGAGGGAGAGAGAGAAGCATTGATTGGTTGCCTCTCACACGCCCCCAACCAGGGACCCAGCCCACAACCCAGGCTTGTTCTCTGACTAGGAATCGAACCAGCCACCTTTCAGTTCACAGGCCACCACTCCGTCCACTGATCCACACCAGCCAGGGCTCAATGTGAAAATCTTTACCTTTGCAGTACAGAGTTCATTCAGAGTCACCTTGATGAAAATCTTTATGTTCTAAGAATGTTGTTATGTGTTCAAGAGGCTGTTGTCCACTGCGTGTCCATTCAAAGCATGGCTGTTGCCCCGGGAAGGAGAGCTGGGGCTTGCCCACCTGTCAGCCAGGTCGTCAGGTCCTCGTACGTCCCTCCCAGGGAGGCAGGGCCGTGCGCGCGGTTGTTCCTAGGCCAGCCTCTGCGGGGCAGCTGCGTGCCGGCCGGGTGTGTGTGGGTGCGTGCGGGTGCGTGTTTGCAGCAGCGTTGTCAGGTGACGGCCTTGGCCAGGAAGGCCTCCAGGAGTGCAGCTCTGGTTTCCTTTCCTCGGGAAAGTATCTGTGTGCCCTTTCCTTGGAGAGTTCTCCAGAACATAGAACTTCACTGTTACATCTGTGTCCGTGGCTGGGCCTGTGCTACAGACCTTGGGGAAACATGGTTCTTGAGCAGTTGGGAAAGCCACGCTGGGTTCCATGGGTTGATCATTCTTGGGCCAGACGTCAGGCAGAGTGTCTCAAGGAAGGGTTCAGGAGTGGCGTTCGCGGCGTGTCGTGAACGCTCACGCCGGCAGAACAAGACAGCCTTTCCCTGCCCCAGCGGCCTGCTGCCTTTCTCAGAAGACTCTGTTGGGAGCACATTTTCCAGTTTAAGATTTTAACCAAAAGATTTTTAAAAACTTGTTAGAGTTGCAGCCGCTCAGGGCTCTTGGCATCAAGTGTAACTTTTGGGGCGGGGGGGCTTCTGGTTGCTGGAAGCGCTCCGGGTTCCTCTGAATTCGCCTTCGCAGACTGCGTGGGTGGGCCTTCCCATGTTACCTGGTGGCTTCCTGTGTCCAGGTGGGTCACTGTGGTGATGATATTTTCTCCTCCTTTCCTTCTCAAGATCTTCCAGACGACGTCAGGGAGCGATGGGAGACCTTCTGCACAAGCTCCTTAGGAGAAACGAACAAGAGGAACACGGTAGATCTAGTAGGTTTTACAAGGTTACGTTTCTGTGGTTTCAGGGCGCTGAGCCTTTGCCGTCTGTTCAGAATGACGTGATGGCTCTGCCATTTGTCCCGGTGGTAGTGGGTCACGGATGTGTTTGTTTCTCTGCCAGGAAGACAGGGCGGTGTTCGCAGTGTTTGTGCTCATCTGCCTTGTCAGCTCCTAGTTCCTGCCTGGGGTGGCGCAGGGGCACAGAGGGGCCACGGAGGCCGGCTCCCCCCGACGTGGTGTCCGTTCCCTCAGAGCTCCGCCCCCGAGCCCCTCCGCCCCACAGCCTCCAGCCCGCCTGTCGCTCCGTCGGGCTTGGTCAGCCTTGGTCAGCCTTCTGCCTCGGAGAACCCCGGGCGGTCAGGAACTCCGATGTTCCGCTGGACACTTTCCAGAGTTACTGAGCTGAGTTGACCCTTGTTTTACATCACTCCCAGTGGCGGACATTTTGCAGATGCCTTTGAAAACCCGGCCTTAAAGCCTCAGCAGATTGGTGCTTCTAGCCAGGGAATAATGGCATTGATAATGCTTTGTTTTGCTTTTTTTTAATTATATTGGACTTTGGAATGCATTCTCTTTTTTTGTTTTAAACACGTTTAGTTTCAAGGTGAGTATTGCCTTTGCGTTTGAAGGTGCGGAGAAACATGTCCTTCTGTCAGCCCGTGGCAGCCAGCGATCGGAGTGGCGGCCCTGACCCCACGTGGAAGCTGACGTGCTGGGCATTTGACTCCGCGAGTGCGGCTGGGCAGCCGCAGTCTCAAGTTCCTAGTGAGCAGTCACACCTGGGCATCGGGAGCTGGCGGCCCTGTCTGTTCAAAACAGGACAGGCACGAAAGGCCGAGGCAGCTACAGAGCGGTCCCTGGGTCGTCCTGAGTCACGGCTGAGGTTATCGAAGAGGGAACTTCGGTGACCTTTCGCAGGCTCCAGGCAGAGCAGTGTCTTGCTGCGGCGGGCGTGGCAGAGTGAGCAGGTGTTAGGGGCCGGAGGCGTTGGGAAGTTCCCAGGCGGCTGTAATAAAGGGGGCCGTGACTGAAGGCGGTCCAGCGGCCCCCAGTGTCCGAGCGTGCCGCAGCCCACAGAGGAGTGCGGGCGTTCCGATAGCCCGGAGCCGTCAGGAAGGGGCCAGTGGCTTTCAGTGGGTGTGGAGCCCGCTGCGTCCACAGCCCCACCCCACCCCCAGGTACGGTTGGTTAAAGTTCTGGAGACGCAGGGCTTTGCTATAGGAAGAAGTTGTTCCCTCCTCATACAGTTGAATGGAACCATTTAATTTTAGACACCGTGTTGATTTCTTGCAGGCAAGGGGGTCCCCTTTAAGGGGATTTTTGCCTTATTTCTATTTATAAGGGAATATCTAGGAATACTATGTGTTGTTTTGTTTGGGAGACTTCGTTTAAAATTATTCTTTGATTGACTGCATTACAGTTCAGATAACACTGAGCTACTTCGAGTGATGCTCTCAGCAGTCCAGTGTGCGACTGCGTAAGTGTGGTTACGAATGTCCACACGCACGCCGTGCAGACCGGCGTGCACACGCCTTTCGGGTCAGACCTCCAGGCGTGACCCTTCAGCCTGTCACGGGAGGCTCAGCTCTCCTTTGCCTGTTGCACTCGTCCCGCACTCGGACCCCACGAGGACGAGCGGGGAGCGGCGGGCTCGTGGAGCAGAAGCGGCCCGCTGCGTCCTTCTGGTGGGACTGGCAGGGATGCGGGGGTTCGGGTTTGAGAAGTCGCCCACGCCGCAGTCCCAGGCCTCCGTGGAGCGTCCCTGCCGCCCCCAGGCTCCTCGTTCTTCTGCCCGGAGCGTTGCGGGCTACGTTCCGGTGGGGCTGCGTGCCGCACCCAAGGGAAGGCAGGGAGCCGAGGCCACTACCGGGAACGCGGCGGGTCTCGCCCTCGCAGAAGCATCGTCCAGAGAGGTCGCACTCGGGCAGCGCAGCACGATCCCGGGGAGAGCGCTCCCTCCCCAGTGCTCTCGGGCGCTCCGCCACCGAGACTGGCAGCTGCTTGCCGCCCCCGGCCTTCCCCCGCCCAGCACATGCAGATCAGATTCGACGCACTGCCTTGACCTGGGTTCTAGGGCGCCCTGGTCCTGCTTGGGAACCGTGTCAGAGGTGTGCTCACGGCGTTGGAGTCGGCCTGTGGCTCTGGCACCACATGCTTGAGTCAGTGTGTTGTCCTGTCGCCCTGGCCCGTTCGTACCTTTCCAGTCCCAGCAAGGGTTTGTTCACGCCCACACCAAACACACACCACTCTGTCCTGACGGCCGCGGGCCTGAGGGCTTGATGGGTTACATGGGGCGGGTCACGCCAGCACCCAGCTCCTGTCACTTCCGGGGCAGCACTGTCATTGTCCCTCTGCGAGTGCTGGAGTGCTTCAGTCCTCGACCCCATCATGCCGAAGTGCACTCACAGCGGACTGATATGTCTGTTGCCTGTGCTTTTGTTTTGGGAGTTTATTATGAATGAAATTCGGTGTTTTGTTTTGTTTTAATTCTCACCTTAGGATATGTGTATTGATTTAAGAGAGAAGGGAGAGAGAGAGTGACAGACATCCATCAGTTTCCTCTTATACGTGCCCTGACCTCGAACCGAACGCACAACCTAGGTGTGTGCTGTGGCCCTTCCGGTTCTGGGACGGTGCTCCGCCCGACGGGCACGCCGGCCAGAGTGGGGTTCTAGGCTGCGCTTTGACCGCAGGGTAGACCGATGCGCATGGGATGGAAACACGCAGGACGGCTGGGATTTGTAGCTGAGGGGAGGAGAAGGAAGGTGGCATGTACTGAAACGACTGAATGGAGGCACCTCGGCGGGGCGGGTTCAGGTGTCTGGGTCACGTCTGCATGCCGGGCTAGTGGGGTTCCAGTTAGCAGGTTTCCCTCCGTGGGCAAGGTGTCTTAGCTCAAAGTACTACGTCAGAATCCCCACGCTTTTTTTCAATAGCACAATTGCAAAGGTATATATGCATTTTGTTATTACTATTATTTTAGGATTTTATTTTATTTTTAGAGAGTGGAAGGGAGGGAGAAAGAGAGGGAGAGAAACATCAGTAGAGGTGTGTGGTTGCCTGTCGCACGCCTCCCATTGGGGACCTGGCCTGCCACCCAGGCATGTGCCCTGACTGAGAATCGAACCAGCTACCCTTTGGTTCGCAGGCCAGTGCTCAATCCACTGAGCCACACCAGCCAGGGCACATTTTGTTATTATTAATAATAACTCTAAAACAATAGGGTTTCTTTTGTTTTTGTTTTGGAGAAAAAAATATATTTTTTAAAGATTTTATTTATTTATTTTTAGAGAGGGACGGGAGAGAGATACATCAATGTGCGGTTGCTGGGGGTCATGGCCTGCAACCCAGGCATGTACCCTGACTGGGAATCGAACCTGCAACACTTTGGTTCGCAGCCTGTGCTCAATCCACTGAGCTACGCCAGCCAGGGCCAGAAAAAAATTGCTTTAAATCTCTCCCAGAATTGCTTTCAGGATGCAAGTTAAGGAGAATGTGTAAAGGGGTAATGAAATCTCACACATAGTAGTTGCTTAACAAAAGCTAATTTCTTTCTGATGTTTCATTAATGAGCTAAACATTTTATTTTGTAGCCAACTAAAGATGAATAAAGATACATTACATCCTGCTTAAACTTAGCAAGACATGCCAGGACCAGCCAACTCTTTTGTTCTGTCTTACTGAGTTCACCTGGCTTGCCCTTGGTGCTGTCTTCAACTCTGTGCCCCACCGTGGGGTTGCACCACTAACACACACACCGGCTCAACATGCTTCCACACTGGCCTGCCAGGCAGATAGCCCAGAGCTCCTCTAAGCCCACTGCGGTGGAAGCGCTTGACCCACTCTCGATAGCAGTGGCCTCGGAAGGTGCCAGCTGCCATGACCAAGCGGTATTCTGCCGCCTCCCTCCTGCACTCCACTGGGTGCTCCGGGCACCTCCCGCCCTCCCACGCTGCTGCTCGTTAGCTCTCTGCAGCTGCGATGGGCGTGAGCAGGTTCCTTCACTGGTCACGAATTCCACCTCTGGTTTCACTGGCCAGCTTGGAAAGGAGGGTGTGAGTGAGTGCGTTCTCTGGGCCTTAGCGGGGTGGAGAGGGAGTGAACTTAGAACACCGGGCTGTTCCCCTGGGCTTCGTGTTTCACCACAGACGGTCAGGCATAGAGCGGGACTTCGTTCAGGCTGTGATTTACTCTGAGTTTCACGAGCCATCCTCACACAGGCCTGTGTAGAGTCTGCTTCGGGCTCGCACCTGTGTTTGGAACTTCGCAAAGCAGGCTGGCCAGTGTCTGTAACTCCATGCTGTTGGGCTTCAGGGGGTGGCAGGTAACGGCCACGCGTGTCCTCCCCTGATGACAGAGGTCTTGGCCCAAAACACTGGAACAGAAAGGGCAGGGAGAAGCGCTCAGGGGAAGCTGTGTGAGTGGTGCCCAGAAATTCTGTGCTGGTTTCTAGGGTGTACAGACCATTCATGTTTATTACTTGCTGTTACCATACAGTGGTTATTGCTGTTAGCACTGTAGCTAATCATCTTTGTGTCTTCATTTCTAATTGCTACTACATTTCCCCCTGATATTATGTGACATTTGTGAATTAAAAAGAATCACTCACCATGAGTTGGTGAGCAGTTCATGTTCGCATTTTTGCTTAATTAAAGAATTGGTTGTAAGTTGCAAAGGAAGGGGGTACATTTTAAGGGGCAGAAGATTTTGGGTCTTGTTATGAGCGGGGACTGTTCACTCAAGTCATATTTAGTTCTTACGGGCAATGCTTTTCTTAGGGTGGGTAGGAAATGCAAGAATTTAAAGTGAAATGGTTATATTTAAACGTGACCTTTCAGTGGCTCATTAGTAATCCCTGGGACTTGCAGTTTTAGCTTTCAGGCTTCGCACACGTAATTTTTTCCTATATTTCATCTGAGCCATTCCTTCTGCCTTCCCCGTGTAAACATTTTATAGGAGATAAGCATCAAAATCACTTGAACAGAGTAACTCCTCTCACCTGTTTTCCGGTGATGCTAGCAGTGCGTGAAACCACCACAAGTGGGCGGCAGAGGGCAGGAAGCCAAACCAGATGGTTGAGTGACATGCACCCTTGAATATCGGGCGGGTTTTACAACTTAACTGTTACTTAGTTTTGTTCTTGCTGTTGTGATTTTTCCGTTAAAATGATGATGCAAATGTCCACAATTTGTCTGTTAAATAGTTTTTTACATTTTTATGCATATAGGTTACAACCTGCCATATTCATTCATCCAGTGATGATGAAATTGACTTTAAAGAAACGGGTTTCTCACAGGATTCTTCTTTGCAGCAAGTGAGTCATGCCTAAAGCTTTGCTTCTTGTTTTTATTTTAAATGCTCAGTCCAGTTGCCATTGATGTATCAGTTTTGGAGACAGACTGTGTGTTAGGATGTGGCTGGGGTTACTTACTAGTTAGCGAGAGCCTTCGAGGAGGAGGCGCTGGGTGCTCGAGAGCCAGGCTTGTTCGTGTCGGTTGTGTTTCAGGACGCGCTTCCTGCCCAGCACAGCGACGCCGTGGGTAAGTCTCTAGGAGGCTGGGCGGGACTGAGTAGTTCGGCGAGAGCCTCAGACGTGCCCACCAGGCAGACCCTCACAGGGGGCGCGGGTCCCTGTGGTGGGTAACCGAGGGGGACAGCAGCAGGAATGAGACCATTGTAATGCCCACACTCTCCCGGAACCACTGGCTTCCATGTTTCTGTGTCTTCAGTGTCCACCGTTCTGGCTGCTGAGTTCACTCCAGTGAAGCAGTTCATTGCCACCGTGCCCTCCTGCTCCCCAATTTATCTGTTTACCAGCAGCTTGTCATCTTCGTGGGGGAGAAAACAGCATATAAAATTAAATGTACTGATGTATCATCTGTTGGTGGTTCTTGGAAAGGGGACAAACGACTTCACTCTCTCAACTGAGTATCAAGTTTAGGAGCTAAAAATAGAAGCCCTATTTAAAAGCTAGCAGCTCTTCATATGGAGAAGTTGTCCTTGGGGCCAGGTCTCTGCACGTCAGTCCCTTGGGAGTGACGAGCACTGCGTGTTGCGTGGCTTCTTTGTTCCCCACCGTTAAGCCTCTTCTTCCCAGGGCCCGGCGGGAGTGTCTGGTGGTTATGCCGGCCCTTTCTCCCGGCGTCTGGGAATGGAGACTGCTTGGGATCGCTTGGCTTGATAATAAGGCAGTTTAACACTCACATTTTCAAGATACGTCCGAAGTTACATTTCCGTGCTTGACTGGCTTCCCTCCTGATTCTTGACGCTGCTGCTGCCGGCTGAATTTGAAGCCAGCCTCCGGAGCCCGGGGGCGGGGAGCAGCCTTCCTACAGGGGGCGCAGCTGAGCGGCAGGGCCTTTCCGTAGACAGCAGCGGCCCCTCCCTGTGAGCCCTCACACCTGCAGGCAGTGCTTTCCTGACTTGAGTTCTGGGGCGCTGCCCTGGGAAGCACCAGAACCCCAGGCCTAGCCCCCAGGAGCCCCTGGGGGGCGGTGGACTGTCCTCTCCGCCCACTGCGAGCACCCTGCCGTGCACCGCGCCTCCCCCTCAGTGTGCACTGTGATGGTCCACACTGCAGGCTCCCGGGGTGACTTTGTACCTGGTGAAACAACGTATGAAAAAGAGTGCCCTGAATATCTATTTCTGAATGAGGAATAAACTTGGATTTCAGGCTGCTGATTGAATCAAGGAGTAGTTATGCTTAGGTGTCTGGAAACGGATTCCTCACTTCTCAGGGAACCTGGGTCCAGGGGCATAACTGTTCTGGGGGTTTTCTGACTTCTCTGGTGTGGCCGACTGCTGGTGCGCACTCGAAGCCACCGCAGTCACAAGCCGCCTTAGTGAGACCGCGCCCCCGGGCTGCTCCTGTGGGTCCTCCACTGTGTGACCCTGTACAAGCAGGAGACTTAGCTGCTCTTTCTGCTTGATAGGCTTTCAGTAACTTTTTTTGCATGTTTAAAACCAAACATAGATCATTTTGAAAATAAGAAATAGACTCCAGAGCATTTTTTTTCTTTTTCATTCGAGAATACAAATCTCGGCAACTTGAGTCCAGAGCTCTTTTTATGTGAATGAGAACTTCAAGTTGTTGTTCACATTTGAACTTGGTCTCATGTCAGTCAAGTGCAGGGCGCTTAGAGCACATCATTAAGCCAGGTTTCCTGGCAAGTCACCGTGGGGACTGCTCTGGCTCAGAGAGGGCCCCACAGCTTTCGGGCCCCTGCCCGCTTACTTTGCCTCCTGTCCCTTGGTTTCCTCACCTGCAGTGTTCAACTCTTTGTTCTCACGCCTCTGCCCGGCAGAGGTGTGGAGGGTGAGGAGGCCTCCCCTGGCCGCCGCCTCCCCCTCATCCCGGACAGGCTGGGCACGGGCAGCAGGGAGGTCCAAAGCAGTGGCGCGCGGCGCCTGCTGCCCAGGCGGCACTCCCAAAGAAATTTGCTTGACGAAGCAGCAGGCTCGCCTCTCAGTGGCTGGCTCACGTGCCTGGCCCTGGCCAGCACGGCCACGCTGGGGGGTGTGGGGGTTCGGTTTGTTTTTTAACGATTGAAAGATTTAATCGTTACACAGCCATATGGTGTTTCCCAGATTCAGATTTCTTTGAGTGTAAAGCACTTTTTTTTTCTGTAGCTTTAAATAGAATACAATAATAGTCTTCACATGTAGCGGATTTGGTGAGCCTCAGTAGCTCTATTAGTAAAAACCAGGGTTGAGACCTAAGGTTCTTTGCCAGTGTGTATCTTCCTGGAAGCTGGAACAGATTTAGCATTAACGAGGGCTAAGTTTGTTCCATTTGTTTTGTCACAGAGGTTAACTGTGTCTGTCGATGGCTGTGTCTCCGCACGGACAGACAGACAGACGCAAATATACGTGCACACACGTCCGCGCACATGCCCCCCGTACAGGCAGCCCCTGCCTCACGGGCCCTGCGTCAGCCGCGCGGTCAGCCCCCGACGGGAGGCGCTCGGGAGAAAACGGCCTGCTGCGGACGCGCACCGCGTAGCCGGGCCTGCGGCCCCTTCGGACTGGACGCACTCGGGCTCTTCCTTCTTGTCCTTCTGCCCCCAACAACACAGTGTGACCGCTGTTTCGGCAGTGGCTCCATCGCCCCAGGTGTCACGAGTCGCCTGCAGGTGGTTTAAAGGCCAGGACGGTGTGCAGATACCCCGCACTGTTATGTAAGGGGCCTGGGCCCTGTTCTGCTGTCCGCGGAGCTCCTGGGACCAGTCTCCCGCGGGTGCCGAGGGACAGCCGCCTGTGCGTGGGTGTGTGTGCTCACACACACGTCTGTGATGTGTGAAGCATTTAAAGCAGGGTGTCCGACCCGAGGCCCGCGGGCACGTACAGCCCAGGGCGGCTGTGAATGCAGCCCAGCACACAGTCGCAGATTTACTTAGTTATTTTATTTGGATATGCACATTTTTTATATTAGTGATCACACACTTGGCCCTGCTCGGCAATTTTGAAAGATTATCTAAAGGACCGCTGCAAAATTAGGGTTGCTATGTGAGGGTTTCTGCTCTTCTCTGGTGGCGGACATCTCGAGAATTGTGCACGGGCCTTTTTATTTTGCCCGTCAGTTTTCATTCGTGTTTGTGTATCTGACGTGTGGCCCAAGACAACTCTCCCCCTTCCAGTGTGGCCCAGAGACCCCAACAGGTTGGACACCCCTGAAAAAGAACATTTTTGTTAATGTCCCTTTTACACCCAAAACATGTGGGATCTTTAGAAGTACAGAAACACACTGAAGGGGAAGAAATCAGAGTAGTTGGCAGGGGCCTTCTCCCAGAGTGACCAGACGCCTGGTGGACTCAGAGCCGGGCCTGCACTGCCTGCCACGTGGGAGGGCCGGTCTGCCTTCACCACGTCGTCGCGGTTCACAACTGTGTGGTTTACCTCGTGAGAGACCACAGGTTCTTTCTTTCCAACTTAATGAGTATGGATGCCGCGTGCCACGTTTTGTAGCAACGTGTCCGGAACTCAGTCCAGCCTCCCAGAACTTGTGTCTCTCCTTGTTTTCTAGCCCAATTCCCACAACCCTCCTTGGAATGCCTCACTGACCATACGCCTGCGAGGCTGGCCCCACACCCCTTGCTCTCGTGTAGTGTCGTCTCTGGGCGAGCAGACAGCGTGGAGGGTGGGAGTGAGCGGAGGTGGGGCCGGGTGGCTTGAGTTAGGGAAAGGCGAGGTTCTAGGTAAAGCTTTGCTCAGACCTAAGGGAAGATGCCTTCCAAAGCCAAATATAAGGTTTCTTTTTTAATTACCCACAACTTGGATTATTCATGCCATCACTCCCTGCCACCTGGAGGAGGATCAGGAGGAAGGGCAGAGGCGTGCCTGCAGGGTGGACTCCGTGGGCCCTGCCCAGGTGGAGAGCTGAGGAGAGGCCAGGTTAACTGGGCTGCTGCCCCTCCCTCCCACCCTGGGGCCTGGAGAGGGAGGCCTCTAGCTAAGCCCCCAGCTGCTACTCAGGTCCCTGGTATGGGACCGCAGTGCACGAAAGAGCAGTCTCATCTGTCCGCAGCTCTGCCCTGGGGCCGCACCCACAGTCTCCATATTTATTGCTGGGCAGATTGAGGGGTGGTACTAGCTTATCTTCATAAATTCCTTACTGCCGATTGATCGCACAGAACACGCCCCCTGGTCTCCCCTGCTCCCCTGGGCCTGCTTGCTCTTCTACACCAGAGTGCCAGCCTTTCTGAGGAGTGCGTTTTCACGCCCCCCGTTTCTCAGCTAGGGGCCGGGCGAGCTGATGGTCTCTAGGAACGGTGTGGGAAACAGAACTTTTCAGAGTGGGTCTGGGTCAGCACCCAAACTGTCCGCTTGGAGGTGGGTAGAGCAGAGGTTACTTCTGCACGCTCCCTAGCCTCTGAGACGTGACTCTTTCTTCTTAAAAGAGAAGGGAGCGTCCCTGGACGCCGTGTGCACGGGGCTGTGGTGGTTGACTGGCGGCCATGTTTCTCTCGGCCTCCAGCGCTGGGTGGGCGGGGCGGGGTGCAGGGAGGGCGGAGGGCGGTCCCCGCTGTTGGGTCTTAATGGAAAGAAGGTTGGTTGTGTCCAGAGCTGACTAACACACCTTATAATTTCAGACTGTCATGCCACTCGATCACCTCTTTGAATTAGACAACCCAGTCCTCTCGCAACAGATCATTTGCAGTAGAGGACAGAGTGGTCCCTTAACATTTATCACAATGGCATGTGCGTCAGAATAACTTGTGGACCAAATTCCAAATGTGTCCTCTTTTGGGTAAATTATGTCTGAAATTATTTGATTTTTTCTCAGAAAACACACCAACTTTTAAAGCCCTATGGCTATTTAAATAAGGTGGTTTCTGGAACACAAATGGGCAAATAGTCTGTAGAATGTCATTAGAATCATTATGTCACTGTCACTGGTCCTGGGGTTGCCAGGCCTTTTCTGATTATCAGATGCAACAAATGACGTCCAATTTTATTGACCAGTTTGGCTTCAACGATGAGAAGTTTGCAGATCAAGATGACATTGGCAAGTGAGTATGTCTTCCTGCTTTCGTAATTGTCCCGTGTAGTCCTGCTCTTCGAGAGACACTCTGTGATTTCCCGGGAGGTTTGGGTCAAGTCCGCACCCCCGAGTCGGGAGGAGCCTGCCCTCCCTGGTGTTCCTTGGGCTCCTGCCTGCCCGGCCCCACGGCACCCGAAGCCCGGGGGGGCATTAGAGTGTCTCCCACGGAGAGGGACTGCCCGTGGGCCCGGCCTCTCTCAGACGGTTCTTTCCCACCAGGTTTGGGGAGAACTCCAGCCGTTCTTCTTGTCTTCTAGTCACTCCTGTTAGGTAGCGCTGTCTGGGGCGTAAACCCCCATGTCGGTTCCCTGGCCGGGCCTGACAGAGAGGTCCCTCACTGCGCCCGGCGGGGTCCCGACTTAGAGCACGGGCACCCCCACCCGCCCGGGCTCTCTTCTCCGGGTGACGCACCGTAAGGCCGAGTTGGGGTTTTCGCAAGAGCCAGGCGGTCCGGGTACGAGGGGCGCAGACATGGGGGTTCCTGGCGCTGTAGAAAACCAGCAGCTCGAAGAGGCGCGGCCGGCCCGCAGATGCGGAAACGCGAGCCCTGGGCAGTGGGGTGTTCACGAGGGGGGGGCGGGACTCCCTGAGAACGCAGTTTTGCCCGTGGGTGCCGCTCTCACAGGAGACCCCTGACGACACTTGGGAGCCCCATAGCTGTGACAGCTGCTCGCGGCGGCTTGTGGAACCACAGTCAGTGGAGGCTGTTGTCCGTCACAAGCTGCAGTCGAGGCACGAGAGAAGCTAGCAGACCTCGGGTGCACTGTCACCACCGCACACCAGGCCACGAGGGCGCCCCGAGCCACAGCCCGGGGGACGCCAAAGGGAGCGTGTGTGGTGTCTGGGCCCCGGGGTGAGCACCCAGGGACCTGCAGGCTCCCCACCTAGTACTGCAGCACGTGCCTGTCTGTACTCCCAGGCGGGAAATGCTACCCGCCTAGGAGCCCACGGTCTCGTCGCCACAGGTGCAGGGTCTTGGAGTAAGGTCCATTAGAACAGGTCTTCTGCAGGCGGCGAGACAGACAGCCCTCCTGCCCCACGGCCCGGGTGACGGGCTGTGGGTTCTCCACTCCCTGGTTCCTTCCCAGTGGGTCCCAGCTGGCAGGAGTCTTGGGTGTCTGTGCAGTTTGGTCTGAGTGTGGCTGTACCTGGAGGAAACTCGGCGTCAGCCGCTTCTTCGTGCTTTTCCGTGTTTTGACTTGTTTCTTCTTGCAAGTCATCTCCCTGGTCATGGAGCCGGGCTGTCTCCCTGGGCGCTGGCTCTCTTTCCGCAGGGCAGCGTTGTGGGGGGTCTGCTGTAGCTAGTGGGCGCCCGTTTCAGCTGTCCCATTTTACGGAGACTTAACACCAAAGGGAGTGGTATCATTTAATGCAAGCAGGGTTTCTTAAAAACTTAGATTTTAACGACAAATATTTTACATTTGGAAAATTTCATGACTACTGTTTCTGTAAGTCTAGATGATTAACTATTTCTATACCTTTATCTTGTTTACAGTGTTTCCTTTGATCGGGTATCAGACATCAACTTTACTCTCAATACAAATGAAAGTGTAAGTGCGAACGTTTTCTGCCGCGCGCGGCAAGGACACGTGGGGGCCGGGTCTGCCAGCTGCACGTGGGCGCTCTGTGCACCGGGCCTGCGGGCGGCGTCTGGGATCGGGGCGTCTCCCCCCACTCCCGTGGCCCGCCAGGCCTGTGGCTTCGGGTGGGACTGGGCTGATAAAACCAGGGTCACTTGTGGTTGCAGTCTAGACACTTAGAGGGCTCCTAGCGTGCAGGGCTGCCTGCACGTCTGCTGCGTGTCCACGGAAGAGACACTCGGGCCGTCAGGGCCAGTCAGCCTCTGGCGAGGGGTGGTGACCGTCACTCGCACACACGGGCACAGTCCCGATCTCTGTGCACACAGCTGGAGAGCCCGCCGGTTTGCCGGCCGAGGTGCATGGTGGGCGGTGCGGGCTTGGGGCCGCGTGTCTGCACTGGGAAAGCAGAGGGCCCGGGTCGCTCTTCCTGCGCTGACAGGTCTGCGGCTGCGTCTGTGTGGGCGGGCGCTCTCTGCAGAGGCACGGGCTCCCGAGGACAGCTCCGGCCCTCGGATGCTGGTTTCAAATCCAGTCTCGGTGGGGGAGCACTTTGTCGTTGTTTTCACAGAAGCTGACGTTAGGTGCTTACGTTCTATTTTGGTGTGTGGGGTTGGCGCTGTTCTTAAAGGAAGTGGAAGAGTGTAACTCACATCGTTACCTTTTGGAGAGAATTTTAGTCTTCAGGTGCACCTGTGCTCTTCATGCAGGGAAACATCGCCCTGTTCGAGGCCTGCTGCAAGGAGCGGATCCAGCAGTTCGACGACGGCGGCTCTGACGAGGAGGACATCTGGGAGGAGAAGCACATCGCCTTTACGCCGGAGTCCCAAAGACGGTCCAGGTAATGGAGAGGCCGTCCCAGGGGCGGTGGTGCCGGGTGCAGAACGCAGAGACTGTCGGGGAGACCACTGCGGCCTCTGCACACCTGCGTGTCTGACCTGGAGACCTACCTAGGACTCGGTCCTGGTCAGAAACACCCTGGTTAGCCATGGGGGGCCAGCGTGTACTCCTTTCTTCGGCGCGGCAGGACTGCTGCAGGCGCCCCTCTGTGGTCCCTGGGGTGTCGTTGTGGCACAGCCTCCCTGAGCGGGCGGCGACGCCCATGGCTGTGGTTGTGGGGTGCTCCGAATAACTGTTCCCTCAGCAGTCGTAACAGCAGCAGCAAATCGTATAGTGTTTCTTACACGAGATAGAGAGTTTCCCCAAGGCAAGTTGTTTGTAAAAATTAATCTAACTTGAAGAGACAGACTCATGTCAGTTGATGCCCATCAGAATCAATTCAGTCTTTTTTTTTTTTTTTTTTTAAGTCATGGTATCACAAGAGCCTAAACGGATTTGCTTCTGTGTACGAGGTCTTCTTGTGAACTGAGTGTTCATTATCAGAGCCTCCCTGGTTAAGACACACCTAATAACAGCTTCAGAATGCACGGAGGAAAACTGGTGGAACTGCAGGGAGGAGTGGACAGACCCACAGTTACAGCCAGATGTTTGAACACCCCTGTCCCAGTAACTGATCACACAGTCAGCAGGAATCAGTGAAAACTCAGGACACTCACATACACCACCAGCCAGCCGGACCTGCCGGGTGCGGCGGAGCTCTCCGCCCCTCGGCGCCAGAGTGCGCGCTCCTTTCGGGCGTGCTGGGGCTCGCTGCTCAGAGAGACTGCGTCTGGGCCACACGGCGAGTCTCAGTCAACTCCGGGGTGTTCCCAGCCGTACGAAGTGTGCTCTCTGGCCCCACTGGAATTAACTTAGAAACATTAGTGAGTAGCAGAAAGATCTCTAGAAAACGTCCAAATGTGTGGAAACCAAATAACACAGGAGTTAAAAAAGAGATCAAAGGGGAAACAACACAGTATTTTGAACGGAAAGAAAATAGAAACACAGCGTGTCAGAACTTGGAGAACGCGGCTCAACAGTGCTTAAGAGGATCGTCAGCTTGAGCCCTGCTTGCTTTTTAAGAGAAGAAGCTTCTCAAATCAGTGACCACCTCAGCTTTCACCTTAAATGTAACAAAATGCAAAACAGGAAAAACAGCAAGGAAATCACGGTAATCAGAGTTGTTCTCTGACTAGATTAACTATAATGTCAGGCTTCTGGACAGTGATCAAGAAGAAGAGAGAAGTTACAGGTTACTAATGTCAGCGACAATACCCAAAAGTACAATAGGGAAACACTGTGAACAGCTCTATGCCAATAACGCTGACAGGGTAATCTTTGAAAGACACACACTACCAACGCTCAAGCCGAAAAGATAACCTAAATAGTCCTACGTCTATTAAAGACTTTTCTAGTGAATTCTACCAGACGTTTCAGAATGATGTTATACCAGTCTGTTCTGTACAGAAGCTTCCAGAAAAACAGAAAAGGGATCGTACCCGTCTTACTCTGTGAGGTTGCCGCATCGTGCGGCCTTATACCAAAAGCTGATATTACGTTGTATCACAAGTGACCGGTTGTTTTCAGAAACGTCGATGTGAAAGCATCTAAACTTTCAGCAGGTGAATGTGTCAGGCCAAGCAGTGTGTATTCCAGGAGCGTGTAGTTGGTGTGGCTTAGCACTGGAAAACCAGTTAGTAGGCACGTGGCTGAATCCAGCATTTATCCCTAAGGATTCTCAGCAGACTGGAGATAGAAGGGAATTTCTTCAGCGTGATGAAATCCTCTCCAGTGAGGCTGCAGTTACTGTTCCTCGTGCTGAAGGACCAAATGCTGCCCCCTTAAGATCAGAGCAGGAGGTGGGTGTCGGCTGCCCTCGCCGTTCTCAGCACTGCGCTGGCTGTTCCGGCCAGTGCAGGAGGTCGGGACGGAGAAATAGAAGGCATCTAGTTGGAAAGGAAGAAGTAAAACTGTCTTGACTCACAGAAAGCATGACTGTCCGTGTAGAAGGTTTACTGGAACCCACTAAACGACGTCCAGGACGACTAAGTGTCTGAGCAGGGCTGCACAGCACGAGACCAGGACACTGTGTTTCGGCACTCTGCGGCAGACCTCCATGGTAGACGTAACTGCATGGTGCTGTTCACGGCACGGCCAGAGCGCTGAGTATGTGCCGATAAATCGGGCAAAGTAGGTATAAGACCGGCACGCTGGAAAGTACCGAGTGGCTGAGAGAAACCGAGACCTGAGTAATGATAAACGTTTATGATCAGAAGACTCGGGATTGTTAAGAACCCAGTTCTCTCCGAACAAAATCATGACAAGTGTTCCGGTGCCGACTGACCGATTGATTTTAAATTCACGTGGAAATGCAGAAGACCTAGAATAGTCAGAACGGCGTTCACACAGGACAGTCGGAGGGCCCGCACAACCTGCCTTCCAGGGATTCGGACAGGGAGATAGGTGAGACCGGGGCCAGGGTGAGGGACGGAATGGGCCCCAGACACAGGCGTGTGGACAGCCGGTGTTCGGTGCAGGCGCTCAGGCAGCTCTGTGGGGAAAGGGCAGACTCGGGCCAGGCGGCCCTGGGCACGGTGGCACACCGGCCTGCGAGGAGGTCGGCTCGGCCCGTGCCTCTCCCCACATACACACACGGACTCAACACGGGCCCTCGACCTGCATGTAAACTGCGAAACTCACACCAGAAACCTCTGTGACCTTGGGTGACGCAAAGATTTCTAAGAGACAACACCGAAAACACTGTACACGGTAGGAAACTCCTAGTGAGTTTGAGCTGGTCAAATTAAATACTGCGGGAAGGACACCTAACAGGATGGAAAGACACAGCATACACTGGGAGAAAACATTTGCAAACTGCGTAGCTGATTAAAAAGAAATTTGTAGGAGAAGCTACAAAGAACTCTCAGAACTGTCCTGAGAAGAAAGACAGTAACCCAGTTCCTAAATGCACCAGAGAGGAGGAGAAACCCCAGGAAAGAAGGGGTGTGGGTGGCCGAGTCACGCGGGCAGGGGCTCGGCACCCTTGGTCGGCAGGGAAAGGCCGGGTGGCGCCACCACAGGGTGCTGCTGCTCCCCTGTGGAAGGCAGCTTTCAGGTTGTGGTTTGCGTCTTTAAGCAGAGGATCAGGCAGCGCAGAGAGCCGAGTCTTGATGAAACGACAGTCAGATGTGCCCCTGTTACAGCGCAGCGTGGTTTTTCTGTTGCCGGAGGACCAGAACGCTCTGGGTTTGGCTATCGGCTGGTAATTCAGCATCAGCAGTTTCGGCCCCTTCTTTCTCAGCTCAGGGAGCACCGACAGCGAGGAGAGCACAGACTCGGAAGATGAGGACGGGGCCAAGCAAGACCTGTTCGACTCCAGTGGCGCCCACACGGAGGACAAGATGGAGGTGGACCTCAGTGAGCGTGAGTCACCTTACTCTTTGTGTTCCTTGCTCTGTGTCGGAAATGGGTTTTAAAAAGAGGCGAACTGGTCTGCAGGGGCTGAGGTGACTTGTGAAGGAGGCGTTGACATGCGTGTCGCCTGGGCCTGAGGGATGGGGCAAGTCACACCTCTGCTGGTGGCGCCGCTCCCCGGTGCGCGGACACCCTCGTGTGTGTCCGGCTGGAGGACGGGCGGGCTGCAGTCCCCGGGCCGGCGCCGCAGGGAGGGGCCCCGACTGCGGCCGGCGGGAAAGTCCCCTGAGTCGGAGAGTCGGGAACTCCCAGAGCAGAGGGAACACCTGAAAGCTGAAGCAATGTTAGTGGGTTTTTTAGAGTTTTTCTGTGAATCTTGAAATGCTAAAACTGGTCTCGCTAAGTGCTTCTGTCCTGCCAGCTGGTCAGTGAGGAATGCTGTCAGCCTCTTGCCCTGGCCGGTGGCTCGGCTGGGCGGCACGTCGCCCCGTGCGCCAAAGGTTGCGTGTTTGAGGGGCGGCTGGTTGGTGTTTGCACTCGCTCTCTCTCGCTCTCTCTTCCTCTTCCTCCCTCCCCTCTCCTCTCTCTAAATCCTTAAAACTATATCTTCAGGTGAGGTTTAAAAAAACATTTTTAATTAAAATACTGTTCCCGTCTAAGAGTTTCAGGTGAGATTTTCAAGTATCCTCCCTTCTTGCTCTTGGTATAGCGCTGCCACGCTCACAGGGGCCGAGGGGCAGGGAGTGTGGGCGCACCCCCACTCAGCACCTGTGACGGGCAGGCTTGGCGCGCCTTCAGCAGAACCACAGTGAGTGGGTGGGCCTTATCAGAGCCGAGCAGACGAGGGGACCTGCAGCCCAGATGGAGGCACGGGCAGACTCATGTTGCCTCTTTGCAGAACCACAACAAAAACACCCAGTCTAAAAACAAAAAACACAACTGGCAGAAAGTCAGACTACATGGAAGTCCGACCACCAAGGCTTTGCAGAGAACTCATCCAGACAGGGGGGAGGGGAGGGGAGGGGAGGACACAGTGTGGTGTGGCCACGCAGCAGCGGCCAGTGGAATGGGCAGTGCACATGCACATGCAGCGGGTGGAAAACCAGGAGGGACAACTGGGCAGGGAGCGATCCCAGCCCCAGGCCAGACTGCACAGCCCAGGGTTCTGGCCTCGGGAAAGTAAAGTCATATGACCTCTGGCCGTAAAAACCACTGGGGGCTGGGGCAGCAGCAGAAGCTGCCAGGCTCTCTGGAGAGTGTGTTTAAAGGGCCCATGGGGTCCTAGAGCGTACGCACATCCACCCATTCTGGGATCAGCACCAGGGCAGCAGCTAAAAGGGCGCCAGTCACTTATGGGAAGCGGGGAAGTGACGGGAAACGGGTCGAGGGCCAGGTAAGCAGCATTGTTACCTCCCCGGCCCCTCCCCCACATGCAGTGCCACCGTGAAGCCACACGGGCTGCACACCTTACAACGTAACAGGTGCACCAGCGCAGGGAGCAGAAGCAGCTCTACCTGACACACAGAAACACAGGGAGGCTGCCAAATTGAGGGACAAATACGGCCCGAATGAAATACCAAAACCCCAGAAAAAGAACTAACTGAAACAGAGATAACCAGCCTATCAGACACAGAGCTCAAAACACTGGTGATCAGATGCTCAGAGAACCGACAGAGGATGGCCGCAGAATAATAAAGGAAGACGCGAAGCCTGTTCCAAGTGAAATAAAAATGTCGGGGGCCAGCGGCGAAGAGGAGGAAGCTGGGTGTCAGATCACTGATTGGGAACAAAGGGAGGAAAAGCAAACATTCAACTGGAACAGAGAGAAGAAACAAGAATTCAGAAAAAAATGAGGACAAGCTTAGTAATCTCTGGGACATCTTTAAACATACCAACATCCAAATTATAGGGGTGCCAGAAGAACAGGAAGAGCAAGAAATTGAAAGCTTATTCGAAAATGTAATGAAAGTAAACTTCTCCGATCTGGTGGAGGAGATAGACACAAGTCCAGGAAGTTCAAGGAGTCCCAGAGAGGCTGGACCCAGAGAGGGCCACACTGAAACACATCATAATGAAAATGCCAGCGCTTAAAGACAGAGAATCTTAAAAGCAGCAGGAGAAAAGGAGACAGTTACCTACAAAGGAGTTCCCATAAGACGTCAGCTGATTTCTCAAAAGAAACCTTGCAGGCAAGAAGGGGCTGGAAAGGAGTATTCCAAGTCATGAAAGGCAAGGACCTGCATCCCAGATTGCTCTATCCAGCAAAGCTGTCATTTAGAATGGAAGGGCAGATGAAGTGCTTCCCAGATAAGGTCAAGTTAAAGGAGTTCATCATCACCAAGCCCTTATTATATGCAATGTTAAAGGGACTTATCTAAGAGAAAGAAGATACGAACAGTAAATACAAACAGTAAAATGACAAACTCACAACTATCGACAACAGAATCTAAAAAAAACAAAAACAAAGCAAACAACTAGAACAGAACAGAATGCTAGAAATGAAGATCGCGTGGAGGGTCATCGGCGGAGAAGGGGGGGAACGTACAAGGAATAAGAAGCAGAGATGGCAGGTACAAAATAGACGGGGAGGGTAAGAACAGCGTAGGAAATACAGAGGCCAAAGAACTTGTATGTACAGTCCATGGACATGAACTGTGGGAGGGGGGTGGAGGGGGGCGAAGGGGAAAAGGTGGGACAACTGGAATAGCCTAATCAATAAAATATACTTTAGAAAAAGAGAAAGAGCGAGGAAACCCAGGCTTGGGGAAGGTAGCTAACTTGCCCACAGGCACAGCAAGGTGTTTCTTCAACCCCAGAACATTCCTGTTGTGTGCAGGTACTGCTCAGTCCTTTGCTTCTAGAATAATCTTCCAAATAGCTAGAGACATGCAGGACAGACCCAAACTTGGCAGGCGGGTGGCATGGAAACAGGCGTCGGGACAGGAATCCCATGCCCCGTGCCGGTCCCAGTCAGCCTCTGCAATCACCCCGTGTCCGTGGGACTTAGAAGGAACGGAAGGAAAACTCGCCCGTTCTCCCAGCTTCACCTCTCACTCCAGCCGTGTGGGCCTTCATGCACGGACCAGGTCCCCGCCACCAGCCGCGTCCTGCAGTTCCGTGTGGGTCCTGTCCGGCTGGGGCTGGGGCTGGGGTTGGGCCTCACAGGGTGAGGGGTGAGGAGGGCTTGCCCACACTTCAGGTGCCTGTCAGAAGGCGGGGCCTCCAGCGCTTCCAACCAACGAGCTAGCAGCGGGGAGTTCCTGTGACCTCTGGGTTCCAGTGTTCCCTAAGGCAGTTCGCAGAACTCAGAAGGCACTTTACTATTGCCAGTTTATTACAAAGGACGTTTCAAAGGATACAAATGACAGCCAAGTGGAAAGATGAACAGGACAGTCTGGAAGGGTCCTGAGCACAGGAGGGCGTGTCCCCAAGGAGTTTGTCTCCAGCGTACGGAAGAACCCGTGATGGGGTGGAGGGCCCTGCATTTCTTAACTGTAGTTGGGTAGTCAACAGTTTTTGAAATAAACATTTTATTTTGGAGTGATGTTAGATTTACAGACAAGTTGCAGATTTTGCAGGGAGTGGCTTCCCTCACCCATCTTCCTTCCGGTGTGAGTGTGGCCTTGGTACACTTGCCAAAACTGAGGAGTTAACACTAGCCTGTTCTTTCACGTGGAGCTCTGCGTCTTTGACATTTTCCACGGGAAAGAAGGCCTCAGGAACGGGGAGTGCTGAGGGTCAGAGGACACGTGCAGCTGCACAAGCGGGTGGGTGCCGTGCGGGCGCCACCTCTGCTCTGTCCGGCCCAGTGGGTGAGGGGGACGGGCACCGCCGCGCCTCTGTGTTTGAGAGGTGCCCCCTGTCGTGTCACCCGAGTGTTCTCAAGGCAAAACCGCTTCCCTCTCCAGCGCCCAGCTGGTCGGCCAACTTCGACGTCCCCATGGAGACCGCCCACGGCACTCCCTTGGACTCCGTGGGGTCTGACGTCTGGAGCGCAGAGGAGCCGATGCCGACCAAAGAGACCGGGTGGGCCTCCTTCTCGGAGTTCCCGTCCTCCCCGAGGTGAGCCAGCTCTCTGGGTGTCTTCGGAGGACAGCGGGGGTGGCGCGCACTCAGGTTGGGCCATCTGTCACTGAGACTGACTTCCAAGTTGAACATGAAAAGCCCGCATGGGGGCGTAGTGACGCAGCTGAGGTACAGGAACAAGGTCACCGCCCCCCTCCTTTCCCCAGGGAGAGCCGAGGGAGGGGCCGGTGGGCACAGTGTGGGGGCAGGCAGCGTCTCCCGGGGCCGCAGAGAGCAGGGTGGGGGGCGCCCAGGAACCGACGGCCCTCGGCGGACTGGCGTCTCCCTCGCAGCCTGCCGAAGGGGTGTGCCAGGCGTGCCGCGGTCTTCCCGGTGTCCCCCACGACAGCCCCGTCATTCAGCCTTTTCCTGAATGCTGTCGTCAGCACGTGAGCCCTAACCGTGGATCTCATGTCCTGTCAGGCTTAGTTTGATTTGCAGAACATTGCTTTCCCTCGTCCCCCGGAAAGACGAGTGGGAGTTACCCCTCAGGCAAACCAGAGAGCAGGCGCGGACCCACGCGCGTGCGCTGTGGGAACTCCAGCGGGAGCGGAGCGGGCAGGGAATGTCTCCAGAATGCCGTGCGTTGTCTCACCGACTCTGCCACGGCCCCGGGCGGTCAGGTCCCCTCGGTGCTGTGCGGTGCACGCCTGTGAGCCTGGGCCTGTGGTGAGGCTCACGTGCTCTGAACCTCGGGGAGCCCTGGCCACTCCCCTGCTGGGCCAGCAGGGCGCGTCCCGTCCACACTGGGACCCGCGCGTCCCCGGCACCTGAACCAGCTGCCGGCGTCTCCCTGGTGGATCGGGACTGGTTTCCAAAGGCTTTTTGTGAATAACAGTACCTGAGGGCTCTTACTCTCCGCTAAGTAACATCTGAATTTTCTCTTTTCTAAAAGTACGAAGGAGTCTTTAAGGAGTAACTCTCCTGTGGAGATGGAGACCAGCACTGAGCCGATGGACCCTCTGACTCCCGGCGTCACCGTGCTGGCCGTGCCGCCCGAAGGTGGGTGCCGGGAGCCGGGGCGCGGCCTGCACACCGTGGTTCCGTGGCTCGTCCCGCCTTGGCGTTCTCTGGAGCGGGAAGGGTGTCTTGGTCCGCGCTGCAGGCCCACAGAACCAGACCCGGGCTCCCGCGGCGCCGGGCCCAGGGGCTCGGAGGAGCCAGGGGAGTGAGACGCTGGGTCTCGGGTGCACGGACGGCGGGAAAGGGGAGGCTGAGCTCGTGCGGTGCTGCCATGTGTCGGTCCTGGGAGGAACGAGGGGCTGTTCGGCCCCATCAGTGCACAGAGAAGGGAACGGGCCCCAGGGAGGGGTGCGGGCGACTGGAACCAGGGCTCTCGGGAGCCCCATGCCCAGTCCGCACCCTGTGCTTCTGTCTCTTGGGGTTCACTGTGCTGGAGCGGGTGTGCAAGTGCCTGGGTGTGTTTCCGGCAGTGGGCTCTCTGTTGTCTTTCTCACCTTCACGAACAGAGTGGTTCATGGTGTCCAGTGGGTCCTCTTGTTACTCAAAATGCGCACATGGTTCCTCGCATAGGCCCTGAACTGCTTTCAGTCTGAAGAGCAGCACTTTGGGAGGTGGGGCGAGAGGGCGGAGGGTGGTGCGGGGCTGGGAAGGAGAACGGGGGTGTGGAGAGGGACAGGGAGGTCAACCCCCAGAGAGAGAGAGATGAGGGCACGGCGGGGGGCGGGGAACCGCGGGCCAGGAAGAGCCAGCGCTGACCTTGGTTCCGTCGTCGTCCTGTCAGCCGGGTTGTAGAGGGGACCTCACTTCGTCCCCATTTTGTGGTTGAGGAAACTCGGGTGCAGCTTAAGCACCTTGCCCAAGGGTTGCACAGCTAGTCGTGGTGAGGCTGGGCTCCGAATTCAGGAAACCGGGTCTCAGAGCCCAGGCTCACAACTGGTAGCCCAGGTGGCTCCCTGGTGTAGGAGGTCCACGAGGAACCGCAAGTGACGTGAAGAAAAGAAACAGGGTGAGCAAGGGACAGGGCAGAGGACAGCCTGTGAGTGCGGGTGGTGGAGCGGCTTGCCACCTGTGGCCCGTGCTGCAGACAGGGTCCGCGAAGAGCAGCAGAGTCTGTCGGGGCAAGGGCGGGTGTGGGGGCAGACTGGGAGCTCGGAAGGCTGTGGGGGTGTGCGGTCCTGTGCACATCTCTCTCCCACGGGCCTATGCAGAATCGGCCCCGGCGACACCGGCCGGCTATCTCCCGGGCTTCAGGCAGGAGCTGCCCTGCAGGCCGGCGCGCTGGTCCGCACGGAAGAGCCTTGCCTGCACGGTGGGGGTGACCGTCGGGTGTGTGCTGTTTCAGTGCCCGGCAGCGTGGCCATGGAGGCCAGCTCCGACGGAGAGGAGGACGCGGAAGGCACAGACAAGGTAACTGAGACAGTGATGAATGGCGGCGTGAAGGAAACCCTCAGCCTCACTGTAGATGCCAAGACAGAGACTGCCGTCTTCAAAAGGTAACCGGGGCGGGGCAGGCTGGCGGCCTCAGGCTTGGGGAGGACGTGGGGGAGCCTCCTCGGTTGGCGTCTGTGTCTCGGTGCAGACGCGGGTTCCGGCGTTGACCCGGCCTCTCCCCCGTCTTTGTGAGACTCGGGGTCCTAGTGAAGAGACGGAGGGTTTGGGTCCCCGAGCGTGCACGCCTCCACCCCACCCCCACCCCCCGCCCTTGTCTGGGAGTATTCAGAGGACTGCAGTGTGAGGCCAGCGGATTTGAAACACACGGGCGTAGGAATGGACCAGTCTGTGGTCGTCGTGGAAACTGACTCACAGACAGGCTGCAGAGCTCAGCCCATCAAAACCAGAGGTTTGGTGTCGCACTGATCCTTTTCTTCAGGTGCCATGCAGTCATGAGTTCAGTAGCAACACGATGGCTTTAAGAAAAAGATGAGAACCTTCTGTCAAAATCTGCAGCCTGCAGTTACATCAGTGCTTGGAGCTTGGGTCTCGGTACCGCGCTGAAGGGAAGCTTCCCGCCCGCGTGGGCTTGTGCACACAGGACCTGAGCGCGCGCGTGCCGCCTCTCACGGGGTGGGACGGCAGGACCAAGGGTGTGTCTCGGGAACGTGAGGGCGTGGTGGCGTGAAGGTCACTGACGGCGATTCGCAGGTGGGCGAAGAGGGGAAAGACGTTTGGACCTTCAGTAGATGGAGAAAAGCGTCTGGTAAAAGTCAAAGCCATGCAGGACTTTTCAGCAGCCCGGACAGAGGAAGCGGCTCCCTGAACCTGAGGACAGTATCCGCCGGCCGCCTGAGTGGGGCGGTCTGGGCGGGGGCACGTCGGGAATGTCCCCTTCAGAGGGCGGCCCAGGCGGTGGCACCTGCGGTCGCGGCTTCTCTCCAGCGCTGTGCTGGCGGCTCAGCAGACACCGCGTAGACTCTGAAGAAAAGGCACGAATGCTTGGAAGGACAGAGGGATGATTGTCGTTGGTAGATCGTGATTTTCTACCAAAGATTTCCCGCTGCGTGTACAGACACGTGTTGGAACTACTGGGGAAGTTCACCGGACACACACGGATCGGTCGTGTCCTGTGAGCCAGTACGAGGCGCCCTGACACGTCCCTCGCTTGAAGTCAGTGAAGCTTCGGCCCTTCCCACGAGGTAACTGAGACGGGGAGGGGGTAAAGCCCCGAGTGAACGGGGGGGCTGCACCGTGTTTGCTCACGGGAGGGCAGCTCTGGTGTCTCTCCGGTGCGGTTTCTGGTGAGAGCTGAGAGGCTGGCTGAGAGGCTCCTGAAGAAGGCCAAAGGGAGCCGAGAGCAGCGAAGACCATTTCGAAGAATGAAGTTGGGGGCCGGGGGGGTTCTTAACTGACGCCGTTGCCGAGAAGGCGCAGCGTGGGCCCGGAGCTGCGCGCACACTGACCCGCTGCACCTGCGTGGACTTGGTGCGTGGCAGTGAAGGGCCTTCTGTCCAGCAGGAAAAGCGGGCTCCAAACAGGGACCGCCCGTTTGGGAGGAAGATAAGATCTCAACGTATATGCAAGAGGCGCAGCTACAGCTTTCGTAAGAGCGTATCTTTAGAACTAGGAGGGAGATACAGGAGATAAAGCCAACCACAAAAAAAAAAAAAAGGAAGGGGAAAAAGATTAAAAAAAAATAAGCCAAACCATTAAAGGAAGGAAAAAATTGATAGATTTGAAGTTTGGTAAATTTCTAATATTCCAAAGGATAGGGTAAATTAGAAAAGGGAGGGAGGTGGGCTGGGATGGGAGTAAAGGCAGAAAACTGTACTTGAACAACAACTAAAATTTTAAAAAAATTAAAAAGTACCTAGAGAGCAAAAAAAAGAAAAGAAAAGCCATAGCCAGCAAAGAAATATTCAGTAGAAGGATGGAGGAGGAAGAACCTAATAACAAGAAGAAAGATACAAACGAACAGGTTTTGAATCGGACAAACGATACAGAGGAGCCCTTCCGCAGGGCGGGAAATGGGGAGCGGGAGACTGCGGGGCGGCCCATCTGCGGGAGCGGGCGGCAGTGGCTGCACCGCTGCCCGCGCACCTCAGCCCGCTGGCTTCTGTGTCAGGTTACAGAAACGGACACCCTGCAGAAACCGCCCGACCTCTGTGAGGCACTGAACTCCAGAACCAGATGAGGGTGATGACAGAAAACCATCCGCTCGCGTGCCGTTCAAGGAAACCGAGTGTCGAGGTTCCGTCTGTGGTGTCACCGCCAGACTCCGACAGCACGTTCAGAATGCCTCGCGGCGCTCCGGGTGTGTGCCGGGGGCCCCCGCGGGAGCCTCAGCACCTCGATGTCTGTGTGCACATGGCGCCGCGTTTCAGTAGACGGAAAGGGCCCGTCCAACGTTTCTGACGGCGCTGCTCATGAGGTTCCCGCCCGCATGAGGCCGAAGCCCTGGGCGAAGCCGGGCGGCAGTGAGTTTCCTGACCTCGGTGAGAGTTAAGTCTCAGAGCGCTGCGGTGCGGACCGCACGTCAGGAGGGCCCTTAGCGGTGGCCGCTCACGGTGAGGGGCCCATCGGGGTGCCGGTCCTCGCTGCCCCTGTATGGGAGGGCCTGGGCAAGGTCGAGAGGGAGGCTGGGCGGGACACGGTGGGCCTGTTAGCGCCCAGGCTATAATGACCGATCGTCAGCTAAGCAAAGTTCCGCAAGACCCATCGGTACGAGGGCACTTTGGAAAACGAGCTTTTCTTCACGCCAGTAGCAAGCAAGGAGGAGTGTAACGAAAGGCAGAGCACTGGCCACCGGACACCTCGCCCTGGGGGGTTACCGGGGAGCATGCGAGCTCGGAAGAGCCGACGACAGCTGCCGGGGAAGGCGCGGATGAGCAGAAACCCAGGCAGCTGGCCGCGGGCGGGGCGGGCCCAGCGCCGCGGAGGCGTCCACACGTCCGGCGACCAAGTTTAGTGCAATTTCGATCAGAGTTCAGCTGGACTTCTAAAAGGCACTGGACAAACACGCTCTAAAACATCTGTGGAATAATGAAGGCTCCCAAATGGTTTAGAGAGCCGTAAATGAGGAAGATGGAACAGGAGACTCCCCGGCATGTCCTCGGTCACGCCGCGCAGTCCCGGTGATTCGCACCAGCTGGTCAGCCCGCACTTCGGGCGAGGGGCCGGCACCCACGGGGGTGGCTCCGTGGGAGGGGGCTAGGGGCCAGGGATGCCCGAGCCTTCCGGACCTCATCTGAGAGCGGCTCCTGGCGGGCTGAAGGTCAGCGTGGGAGATGGGCCACGTGCAGGGCTGCTCTCCGTGGCCGCGCGCTCACGGCTCGCATGTCTTGACCATCCGTTCTCTCCCCGAGTGCTGAGACGGCGTGTCGGTGAGGGGTGTGCCCGGAGCCCCGCGGCGGTTAGAGGCGATGAGCTGTGTCTTCCTGGTCGGGGGCAGAAAGGGACTTCCTTTTTAAAAGTAAAACAAGAAAATCTTCAAAAGCGTAAGCCACAATGCGAAGGATAGCCTTGGGTTGGATCCAAGTTAAGAATTCTGGGCTGACAAAATGCTGCAGGCGAAACTCAGTGGCCGGTGGCAACTTGAGGGGCTGAGGCGTCCAGTGTCCAGGTAACGGGAAGCTCACACCTGCTACTCAGTTCCCGTAAAGCAGTAAGGAAGAGACAGAGCACCCAGATCAGAAGGCGGGCAAAGGGTGTCAGTAGGCAGTTGAGAGACCAGGAAATCCAAAAGGGCCAAAAACACTAACGCTCAAAGCATGTTCGCCGCCCGGCTGCTCTTCGAGACTGGCGGGAATCAGGTGGGTGGTGCCCAGGGCTGGGGGCCCCTGGGCCCCATGGCCCTGCTGCCCTGCGGTGGGTGAGGCGGGTGGCGGACGCCCCCTGTGCAGTGCCGCAGTCATCGTGCACAGAGGTGTCAGGCAGTGGGCGCCGGGCACCGGGAGAGGCAGGTGGAGCGGGAGGGGCAGGCCGTGGGGCCCCGTCAGCGGGGCAGACGGCCTTCTGCCCCAGCGCCAGCAGTCCCGCACGCTGCACCAGTCGGTGCCGGTTCTGTGACTCGGAGGGTGTCTGTGCTACCGCGTTCCACAGGAAGGAGATGCGGGGTGGGCGGAGGTAGGTTGGCAGTTGTGAGCACTCAGAGCAGTTTGTTTCTCTTAACATCTGTTGTGCCATTTTCCACAGAGCAACTGCAGCCCCGCCCTGGACGTGTGTAGTGGCTCAGGTGGTCACTTTGGTGGGGGGGTGCAGAGGGCGGGGATAAAGGGCAGTGGGCCCGGCAGCTCAGGTCGCCCACAGACCTTTGCACCTTAGTTCATTTTCCTCCATGCATTTTCCTCTGTGCATCGCCAGGTCCATCTGAAAGCCACCCAAGAAATTACCCTAAAACGAGGCTTGTCTTAAGCCAACCCAGGACAGGGCCAGCTCCAAGTGCAGTGGGTCTGCCCTGGACCCACTCCAGCTCCAGCTGCCCTGGAGCCTGAGGTCAGCGCCGTCCTGGTCACGGCAAACCGGAGACCCAGATGGAGGTCTGAGTCGCCAGCCCACAGTTCACAGCGTTTGCAGCCGGTCCCGCTCCACCAGGAGCTGCCCGAGGGGAAGCAGCCCTCCCCTGGCCCTCTGTTTCTCCCTGCTCTGGCTGCAGTTCTTGGCTCTCTTCCTTCAGGGTGTCTGTATTTCTTGCTTGAGGTCAGAGGGCAACTTGAGAAGGTCGGGGCTGGTTCAGGCGCCACAGAACCCCGCTCCCATGGCCTCGGCCGGCAAGCTGGTGGGGATCTGTCCTACTGTTCAAGTGGTGGGCTCAGCCTCAGAAGCAAAATGCTTAACTAAAGACTCGTTCCTTCAAACAGGTTCATTTGACACCTCCTCCGAGTCTGCAGACTTGCTTAGGCGCAGTCGGGGGCATGTTACCCCCACCCCTCATTCTAGGAGTGTTCTGAAACTCTTGTACATTTCTTTTCTGTTTTGCACACTGGGCGTCAGAGTGTTGAAATCCTATCGGTATGTACGTCCCGGGGCCGTTCGTGATCAACACCAGTCGCATTACATCGTTCCCTCCAGTTCCCTCCTGCGTGATCCTTCCCTCCTGTGGTCTCCCGGTCGCTGTCTGTGGCCCGTGTCCCTCACCTGCGCATGCTCAGCCCCAGGGCTTAACTCCATGGCAGCCACAACTCCAGAGCCATGTGCATGTGCCCTCATCCTCCACCTGGCGGTGACGTCCCGGGGACCTAATGCTGCCTCTGGTCCTCTCCACTGCAGCGAGGAAGGAAAACTGTCTACCTCTCAAGATGCTGCTTGTAAAGACGCGGAGGAGAGCCCCGAGCCGGCCGAGGCAAAGTCTGCGGCCCCCCGGCCCGCCGGCAGTGGTGCTGAGCAGAGGTAGGTAAGGGCTGCCCACCCAGGCCCTGCCCTGGCTTCGCCTGCTGTCTCCTGGGCACCGGGGGGCGGGGGCCAGAGGCAGGGAGGCATCGGCCCCTGTGGGGTCAGGGTGACTGCGTTCGGGGCTTGGAAACAGGCTCGGTGACACCACTGGCTCTTCCAGGAATTACTGGGGGTGGAAGGGTGTCTCTCACACAGGCACTGCGCCCCCCTCCCCTTTTGATGAACCTCCAAGACTGGGTCCCCTTGACTGTGGCAGCCAGGCTCTTGTGGGCCTGTGGAGTCGCGCCACGGCCAGGCACAAGCGGCTCCTGGGGCCCGTTTTCCCGGGGACGTGCCCACATGACACACAGGGAGGACCTGGCTGCGGACCTTTTCATACGTGGAGCTCAGCGTCCTCCTCCCGTGGGTGATACCCTGGTCGGGTCAGTTTCTGCAGACCCCCGAGTGTGAAAACCTTCCCCCAGCAGATGTTTCCGTCCTGGTCACCTGTCACTTAGGCCAGGCCTGAGTCCTGGTGCCGCCACGCGGTCTCGAGGGTGGCTGGGCACCCTGGGGACCCCGCTGGAAGAGGGGGCTTGTCCTGGGGTCACGGCACTTCCCAGAGTTAACTTGTTGTATGAGCTGTCTCTCCGTCTGAATGTTCCTTCCCCAAGGAACAAGGTAAGCTTTACGGCGTTTCAGAAAAGTTGTCCTTTCCCTCCTGCCAGGCCTCCTCTCCCCGGAATCTTCTAGGCTTATCGGGGTAATGTAACCCGTGGGGCCAGCAGGGGGCACTCTGTCCACCCGTTAGCAAACCTCTCTCGTCCCAGCAAGCTCTGCCTTTGTTTCCTGTGGACGTGATAGCCAGAGTGAAGGCGATGTATGTGTATGTACGGACTTTGCATATGAAGGAAACGAGAACCATCTGGGCGTATCAGCTCTAGCGGGGGCTTTCAGAGGAAGAGGCAGGGGGCGCCCCGGCTCTGGGGCGCGCGGCCCCCGCTGCGTTCGGGCGAGTCACTTTCTCTGCCTGGGTTTTCGGTGTGTGTTTGATAAAGGCCCTTCGTAGGTCTGATTCCCGGTCGGTTGTCATCGCCCTGGTTTCTCCTCGTTTCTCGGACTCGGGGACCCGCCTCCGCGGCAGGACGGTGCATGTCCCGCTTCTCCGGCGTGAGGCACAGGAGGCTGTCGGCGTGTCCACGGCTCCCTGGGGACACAGAGTCGTTCGCCTCGGAGCCCACTCTGTCCTCCCCGCCGCACACCACTGGTGTGAAGAGCCCTGCCTTCCCTCTGCAGGGCTGAGGGGTGCGGGACGGAGCGGGGTGAACTTCTGCAGGAAGTGGGGCGTCGTCCGTGCCAGTGTGTTTGTCCTTCCGTCAGTGCCCAGCTCAGCGCGGCGGCCGCCGGCCTGGGCCCGAGGGAAAAGCACTAGCAGGGCGGATGCAGGCGACGGTGGCGGGGGGGGGGTGCTTCTGGGGGTGCAGAGTCAGGCGAGGGAACCGGTGCCCGTTTCCGGTGGGGCGGAGGGGCACGGCCTCCGGGGTGGCGCTGGTAACAGCAGGGACAAGGCAGACTCTCTGGTGTGACTGTCCCACTTGTGTTCTTAAAGCAGTTCGGGGAGTGTTGGCGACAGAGCTGCCCGAGACCGTGTGCGCGCAGTCCGCCCCCGTGGCTCCCGCCACAGCCAAACGCCGACGGGCGCGCGCTGTCGCTCCCGGAGATGTGCGGTGCCACCGAAGCGCAGTTTCCCCAGCTGTGCACCAAGTTCGGCGTCTCGGCTCTGTTTGTGACTGTTGGTGCTCGTTCCGTGCTCGTGTGCTTCCCGTTTTGGCCCGCAGGCCCCTTCTTGCCTTCTCTGTGCGACCCGGGCCGCGCCACAGGGGAGCCCCGTGCCTTGAGGTCGTCGCTGGCCGGCTTGCTGGCTGGCCTCTGGGACTCTATCCACACCTGGCCCACCGAGAGCCCCGCCCCCGGCTACGAGGGGCTCCGTGGTTACAGTTCGCACCCTCGTTTGCTGCCAGGAGTCCTGTTGACAAGCTGCTTTTTTGTGTGCTACCCCCCCCCCCCAGTCGCAGAACCGTTTTTCAAGTGAAATTTTCTGTGGGCTCCAGCATACGGAACGGATAAAAGGCTGGACTGAAGGAGGGATGAGCCTCGGGGGCAACGTTTTGCGGCCCCTGGCCTGGCCTGTGCTCCCGAGCGGCTGGAGGGGCGCGGGCTCCGCCCTGTGGCGCCTGCTCGTCTGCAGGTGGGCAGCCGATGGCCGGGGTTCGAGGCTTTAGATGACGCTTAGAGAGGCCCTTCAGCCGCGTTTCTGGAGCTTTAGATAAATGCATTTGTGAAGTGTTTCATTACGTAACTGTCGTACCAAGTGCTGGGCTTGGCGCTAGGCATGGCATAAAGAACATCAAAACAGCCCCTCTCCGCCCTCGGGGAGCTACACGGAGTGCGTTTCCCACCTCGTCTCTGCCCCAGCGCCTCAGGTGTCTGTTTCTCGCCCGCAGGACCGACCAGCCCAGCGTGCCAGGCGACGCGTCGGTGAACGGCCCCGTATGATGAGCGGCCTCTGCTGCTGACCGAGGACCGCGGGCCGCCACCATTCAGGGCTCTGGGTGCCGGCGGGGCCGCCCCGTCGCCGCCCCCGCCGCCCCCTCTGCACGGGATCAGGACCAGCAACCTTTCTACTCTAGACGCTAAGACATTGTACAGAGAGATTCAGACGTGTACCGATATTGCACATTGACAAATACCAAGAATTTTTGCGTATGTTTATATTGTATTGTTCTAAATAATGGGTGGCCTGTGAAATACGACCCTGCCGCCCATGTAATAATAGCAGTAATACTGTAGTGGAAATGGCTGTAAGAATAGTTTTATAAAAGTGAATACACAGAGCTATTGTATTTGAAACATAACTATTTGACAATTATTAGTGTGACCAAAGTATTAGGCAGTTTTCATACATTTTTTCACCTTGTACAAAATTCTGAATTCATTTTTCTTCCAGGTTGGCAAGGAGTAGCCGGATTGAGATGCCCTCTGTGTTCTTTTGGTTGTTCTAACTTACAAAAGTGGTTTTGAATAAGAAATATTTGGTGTTCTTTTTATAACCAGTTTTTGATTGGTAACTGTTTTCTGTATTGTTAAAAGCGGATCAAAAATGTAAGTCTGTTGGTAGAGATTAAGTATTTATTGCTGCAGCTTAGTTGGTAAACTGGTGTTATCGTAGAGCCACACGCTCTGTTCCGGCCTGGTTTGCTGAGACGCCCGTTGGTGCAGGCGAAACACTAGAGCACCAGGCGTGTCTACGGCTAGCGGTTTGGGTTTCGTTTCTCGTTTTTGTTTTGTTTTCTGTTTTGTTTCGGTAGTTCATCTGCCTTTTAACCCATTCACCAAAACTTACTTTGTTGACAGGCATCACCAGTGAGAACTGCAGAGCAGCCCGCACACGTAACCGCCCCGCCCCGCCCCGCGCCCCTCGGCCGGCTGCGCGTGGAGGCCGGCCGTCGGGCTCCGGCACCGGGCGGGCAGGCTGCTCTCCTGCACCCTGTGGGGTTTTCACTTGTAAATTCTCAGCCAGTCCGCTTTTTCAGAACTGGTGTGTGTATATATATAGTGATTATGGATACTAATTCAATGTAATTTATAATTTTCTATGTCAGTATAAAAATCCATCACAGCCTTCTCAAACAGCTAAAGCAATATGTTGTATATTGCGTGCCGTCTGGTGAAAGGGTTAAATGACTTCACCTCTTGCAATTTTAGATGCAAATCAGTTTTTCATTTCTGTAATAGAAAATTATTCACCTATTTTTACATCATTTGTTTTTCCTGACCAGTATTTAAAACCAAACGGATATTCTGAAAAATGGCCAACGATTTTTTAGAAAATAGCATCCCAAGCAGCGTGCCTAAACCTTACATCGCATACGGAAATAAAAGAATCAAATGTCGGTGCCTTACTCCTCGTCTGCTTCTCGCCGTGGACGGTGCGGGAGCTCCTCGCGGGGTCGGCAGGGCAAGCCGGCCACGCAAGGACAGCGCGGTCAGTGTGCGCCCTCGGCCTCCACGCGCCTCCTGGGGGACCCTCTGTGTCAGCTCCTCTTCCGGGAGACTCCGTGGGGGCTCCTCTGGCACCCAGCACTGCCCGAGGGCGGGGCTCCTCTGCTTTGTCGCGGGGACGCCGGACGCCGGCTTCGGTGGCATGGCACCGCAGGGCCTGCTGTGGGTGACACGCTTGTCTCTGGGGGGCACAGGCCACCCTGTGCGGTGTGGTACTGGTCGGCATCCCCGCCCCACCCAGGGGGACGGCGTCTGGCTTCCAGCCTCTGGCTGCTGACGAGAGACGTGCTGCGTGTGCTCGTCTGGAGTGGCCGGGAGAGTGCGAGGGGAAGCCCGGGGGCGGGGCGCGCGAGCACTCTCACTGCCGCCTGCGGGCCGCACGGGACCTCGCGGCGAGCCCAAGCCTGCGCCTACGCAGCGACGCCTGCATTGCAGAGAACAAAAACCAAGCCCGAGTCCGTGTTTAGAAGCCGCCTCTTGTACCTCGCGTGGGCCCCAGTAGCCAGACGGGGCGGGGGGCTGTGGCGAGAGAACCACTAAGGGCGCCCGGCGGGCCTCTGGCCCGGCCTCCCGGAGTGGCCCTTCCCCAGGCCGTGGTTGGGCTTCCGGCCCCTGGTGGTGGGGCCCCTCACCCGTTCCACACGGACGTCTGAGACATGGCGGCTGCTGGTCTGTCTCCCTGGGGTGGTCAGAGCCGCTTCGTCACCAAGTCCCCGGTGCTGGTTGGGGTGCCCGTCAGGGCCCTGCGGCCGCCACCCCACCCCTCACCCCGGCAGTCAGTCAGGGCCCGGAGCTCACACCCTGCCCTCGGACTGGGCGGCTCACTCTTCATCTCGGCTCCTATGGGGGGAGCCGGAGGAAAGGGTCCCTGGGCGCAAAGTACAGCCGGCCTTGCCCTGTGGGGGGTGGTTGGTATGACTCTCAGTCCCGTAATGCCACCTGCCTGCCTTTCTGAACCCTGGCCCTTGGCCTGCCACCCGACCTAAAGCCTGCGCCTCCAGAAGACACGGGCGCCTGCTCTCCAGCCAGATGGGTTTAGTGCCTGTTCTGCCGCAGGGCCGGCTCCGCCCCCCGCCCCCATCACGAGTTCCCGTGGCACCGCCGGCCCCCCTGTTCACACATGGCTGCGGTGGCCTCAGGGCCACGGCGCGTCCTTCCACGGCCTGGGCTCTCGCTTTGCTTCGGCGGCGCTTCCGTGCTGTGGGCCCGGCGCCCGCAGGCTCGCCCCGCACCAGCCCGGCAGACGGCACCGGCCCGGCAGACGGCACCGGGCCACCCTCGGGGCCACTCAGCCAGGCGGGATCCTGGGGCGGCCGACGCCCCGCTGCCGTTGCCAGGTGCTGGGGGTGGCGTGGGCTGGTGTGGTCTGTTTCCCTGGGGGACCCTCCCCTTGTCAGAGCAGAGCACCGTTCTCACTCTGTGCCGGGTGGCGCTGTTCTCGGCCGTCGGAGGACTCAGCCGCCCCCGTTTTACTCTCGCACGGGGGATGCAGGCCCAGGGGTCTGCCCAGCAAGGGGCCGGCCAGCAGGGGGCGGCGGTGAGGCCTGACTGAAGCACAGGCGGGTCGGTCGTGGGCCAGGGCAGCGCCTGCCCGCGTGTGCGTGCAGTCCTGGGGGCTGCCGTCACTGCACGCTCCCAGCCAGACCCTCCCCCGAGCCAGACCCTTCCGGGTGTGTTTTCCCTCGAGACCCTGACGACCTGGTCTCACAGCTGGGCAGCGAGGGAGTGGAGGCCGGCTGTGCGGGGTCCTCGCTGGCCAGAGGGGGGCGCTGTGTGGCCGCGGCAGCGAAGACTGGCGAACGGGGCGCAGAACCACCGCCGTGAGCGTGAATTCTCACGTTCAGGGCGACAAGCTGCCAGGAGTAGGGACTTCTGAGTGGCTGGTGGGGCCTGCCCTGCCCCCGCTGGCTGCCCTCCTGGCTCGTGGAGCGGTTTCCACCAAGACCGAGAGGCCTGCAAGCCCCTCGCTGCCCGGCCCTCTGCAGGAAAGGTCGCTGGTTCCCAAGTCAGCAGATGGACTCGGACCTAGAACCAGGCCCACACGTGCACCGCCTGCTGGTTTCAACCGCGTCGCCCACGCAGTCCCGTGCGGAGGGGAGGGAAGGGGCGGGTTCGGGCGCCCGCTGGACGGCGTGTGCGGGGGAAGTGAGCCTGGACCCCTTCCACACACCCCTTCCACACGCCGTCTGCCAACGCCCGAACGGCACCGGTCTGAGTTCGCACGCTTGCATGTCCGGAAGAAACGACGTCTGAGCGGCTTTGGGACAGCCAAGACCCCTTAGGATGGCAGACGCAGACCCCAGAACCTGTGACCCCAGCGTCCACAGCAGCGCTGTGCACGCAGCCGAGTGCTGGGACCAGCCTGGTGCCCCCAGCGAGGGAGTGGACCAGAACACTGGTCCATCTGCACAGTGGGACACTGCGCAGCAGACAGATGGAGCGCCCGCACTTCGTGCGACAGCGTGGACCGGCCGGAGGGCACTGAGCTGGGCGAAGGCAGCCGGGCGGAGAGAGACCAAGACCGGACGACCTCACCCCCGAGTGGGACCTCATCCACAACACCAGCCAACGAAACAGAACCCGAGGCAGGGAAACGAGGAGCAGGCAGTGACCAGAGGGGGGTGGGGGAAGGGGTGGGAGGGGCTGGTCAAGGAAATGAATGGCCCACGGACACGGACAGCGGCCTGGGGACTGAATGTGGGGCCAGGGCAGGGGAGAGCAAGGGGGCAAACTGTAGTAGAAGCTCCCCCAAAAAGAGCTTCCGTCCAACCTGCCTGCTCTTCACAGCACAGGCGGGCCCTGGCCGCCAGGGGAACCACCTGCGTGAGCCCTGCCCGACGGCTCAGCTCCCAGAAGATGCTGGTCAGCGATGAGGGGCGAAACCCAGTCCCACACGCGGGCGGGAGACGGGACCAGGCGGTGACGAAGACACGAGTGGCCCGGGCAGACGTGACAGGCCGCTCCTCTGGGGCTGGACTCTCAAATCCGGTTCTCCGTCGGGCTCCCGCACCCCAGTTCTCACTCGTCTCCGAACGAGTGCGGAGTCGCCCCCCCGCCCCCCCCCCCGCTCCCGGCGCAGACGGACAGGAAAAGACACGAGCGGCTCCAGTAAATCTGGATTTCCTTCCAGAGACAGATGGTCAGGCAGGTTGAAAATAAAACCCAGCAATACACTGTTTATATGAGCGCCATAATAGTGACAGAGGCCAAAAATAAATGTAGGAAAACAGAGAAAAGTGCAAACAAACAAAAACGCGACAATGCCAGGCAAAGCGGAACTCGAGGCTGAGAGCACTGTGGGGGGTTGAGAGACTGAGTCACATCCCACACCCAGCAGCCGGGGACGCCAGAAGGCTTGTGTGCAGCCGCGGAGTGGCCCTCCCGGACCCAATGCCCCGCCCGAGTACGGAAGGTCTTGAAGCAGGCGTCGTGGGCCGGTGCGCCAGGGGCCGAGGGCCAGAGAGAAAGGAAAGGTTTTGCACAATCCTGTACCCGAGGCCGCCGCCCCCTCGTGGCTGCTCCTGCTGCTAACATGGGCCCGGGGCTGTCATCACCTGGGGAAAGGAGAACCGCGAAGCAGTGGGCCTCACGTCCACTACAGCCCCTCTCCAGGCCTCTGATGACCCCTGGGCTGTGGGAGACCTGCCCGGAGGCCGAGCGCAAGACCCCAGCTGACGGGCTGGGGCGGCGGGGACTGGAGTCCAGGGGTTTCCAAGGAGGGGGACGCCGGGACACACGTCGAAACCCTGCAGGACCACCATGCCACCGGGGGAAGGGCACGCCGGACGGGCCCGTCCCCCCTCCAGGAGAAAGAAACCCTCTCCACAGCTGCTCCTCACACACGGTGTTGGCGCCGAGTAGGAGCTTCCTGCATGGGCCAGCAGACAAGACACACCTGGGGGTGGCAAACTGGGGGGAGAGCACACGGTCCATCCCGGCGTGGGGGTTCCGGGCTTCACCACGTGGCCAGTGCGAGGGCTGCCCAGAGGGGCCCAGCCGCGTTCTGTGACCAGTAGAGGCCTTCCCTGAAGAAGACGCAAGACACAGGAAACACTGTGCACAGGACAATGACACCTCAGTCCCCTTCAAAGTGGGCACCTCGGGACCTCACACAGTTCTCCCAGTCGCCACCAGCCGCCCCGTCGTATTTTCCTGAATCTCACCGACAGTCTGAAATCTCTCTTTCCAAGGTGATTTTACTTTTGGAAAAAGCCAGGAGTCACAGGGTGGCAAATCTGGGCTGTAGGGGGCTGAGTCCCCCGGGGTGATTTGACGTTTCGCCAAAAAGCTCTGCACGAGACGTGACGCAGGAGCGGGCGTGCTGTCGTGATGAAGCTGCCAGTCCCCAGTTGCCCACAGCTGCAGCCTTCCGAGTCATCTGAATAGCTTCTGAGGGGCAACGTTCAATCTTAACACAAAATCTGATGCAGATTCGTTGCTCCGCTCACTCAGTCATTTTGAACGTGGTCACACAGTGCACGTGCTCACTCAGTGGCGTCTACCGCCCCCACTGACCGGTACAGTGGGGTCCTCATTGTTCTTATGGGCGCGTTCCGGTCCACACTCCCTGGCTGCCAAGTTACACCGATGTCGTACAAACTGTTCTTGTCATAGTAACAATGGCTGGACTTTTTCTGGACAGACCTCGTATGTTCAAAATAATAGATAACCAACTGGAGGTGTTCACCAAAGAACAGGAGTCCTATTCTAAAAAAATTTCAAATGGAAATTCTAAACCTGAAACACACAGTAACTGGAATGAGGAACCCCATAAATGAATTTAAAAGCAGAAGGTAAGTGCAGGAACTCGTGATGGGTCTGGAGAACGTTCAGACAAGCGCGGGGAGGAGAAACGCGGAGGACGCGGAAAGCACCCGGAGAGACGGCGGAT